AATTCACTTTCCTCCAATTTCATCCTCAGCAAGAAGGTGTTTCCCAAAATGTCAAACTTTCTACAATTATTAAAGACTTATTTAAGGAATATTCAATGGACCAAATGAATGAAATCAGAGTTCATTATTACTTATTCTAATTTGCCAAAGAGGCAACAAGCTAAGACACAAACCACTCGTCAGCTATTCAACAACAATTTCATAGATTACAGTCAGAAGGTTAGAGACGAAGAGCTTTCATAAGGCTGCTGGGGCTTGATATATATAAATGTATAAGTGTACGTACGCACAAAGGCACACACCTTCCACCAGCTCACCGCATTGCCCAAATATTGTGACGTCACACTAAAGCAGAGAAAGGGCAAGACTAACAAACCGGGCGGTTCTGCCTCTGCGCGAGGGGCCACTGGGAGAACAACCCGACAGAACTTTACCGCTTCACTTTGTTCTGTGCCCGGAGCGTCAGGGTGGTGGACTCTGTTAAGCCAATGCTAATCCTTGTTTGCTACAGAACATCCATTACACATGTCATTTGCAGACGCAAACATTCCAGAGCATTAAGCTCACCGTGAACGCCGCGGCAGGAAAAACAAAAGGTAAAAGAGTTAATTTCAAACGGTGGAAGCAATTACGATACTTTCAAGCGTCCCAGGACGAGACTCCTTCTTTTAAATGTCTTCTGATTAAACGCCTGAACCGGTCAGGCAAGTTGTTCCCGGCGTTATGAATTCTACCGCTGATGTGACACAGAAAAGGCCTGGCAATGATGAATGACGGTTCAGATGGCAGCTTGCACGGCTTTACAGGCCTATCTCCTCCCCCCTCTCTCTCTCTCCCCCTCCCTCCCTCCCTCTCGCTCGCTCTGCCCCGCAGCTCCTGTATTTCAATGCTCCCCAGATGGGATTGAGGTTGCTGTGACAGGCCGTGACGCAGGCGGGGTGTCGAGTATCAGGGCCACTGACAGTTAACCATCAATCACACTTCTTACCAGCCAGCCTCTTAAATAACAAACGCCGTAATACACCTCTCCCTTTACACCTTCTTTTTAAGGGCTTTATGAAGAATGAAGCATTTGGGCTCAAGTTTGGTCTTTAGACTGCAGGAAGTATGAATATATGTGTGTGTGTGTGTGTGTGTGTGAACTCGTGCACGACTTTTGATACTGTTTTGCAAAACCCGGGTGCAAATTGCGATTATGAACTCACAAAAACAGAGTCTCTTTTGCACATGTGAAGTTAGACTCTGCATGCTTCTTACATCACGTGACATCATGTTGTTTGAAATGAAGGACTTCACATTTGAAAAGCTGGAGAAAATCCATTGGCACTTTAATTAATCAAAAAGTTAATCAATTATCAAAACTCTTGATGGAAAGCTGATGGATTCTTTGTCAATTGACTTGACGGTGAAGCGACTGTTTGAGCCGTACGGTATCAAGTATTTACACAAACGACAGTGGAATATATATATATATTTATGTATATAAATATAGTATATGGAGCAGCTCATGCAATCTCACCAAATCCCAGCAGAGGGACCCCGTCGTCAGAGAGACCTGTTTTCTTTCAGTTCTCCAGACAACTACACACACATCGGCCATTGCTCCACAGAAACGTCAGCCGGTACTATTACCCCTCTCACACATCAAGATTATTTCAAACAAAATCCCATTCTCTTGGTTTTATTTTCATCAGCAGAGGGAGGGGAGGGGGGGGGGGGGGCGAGGTGGTGAGAGACGACTGGTTGCCATGTGAGAGACACAGAGACAATGGAGTTGTACATGAAGACCAGCCGCCCCAACAGCCACGGAGCCTCTCAGTGTGCTTCCTGTCCGGACGACACGTACACTTGGCTTGGAGGATGACCTCTGACCTCTTGAAAACACAAAATACCTCAGTTGACGTATTCAGTGTACATATAATGAAGCGTGTGCCCTAAGGGCCGTGCACAATGGCAGCTTTTTGTTTTGCATTCAGGGGCCACTTCCTCCCCAACGATCCCTGTAATATTATAATAAGAACGTTTTCTCCGTTTTTTTTCCAGTATAATTATAATATATAGTATATATATCAGTTGGCTGAACACTTATTATAGCTTCAGAAAATTACCCATATTAAACCAATGACAAAATCTTAGATAATGTAGTTAGTATGTGTTTGAAAATCATTGTCTCAGTCTCTGTTACCTAGGCAACGACTACTCCCGGGTTTCACGCTGGCATAAGCCAAAGGGATTTATTGCAATATTACTATTGGCAATCACACACAAGCAAAACATATTATTTCAGTGTGCGTGTGTGAAAGGTAAATGTTTGAGTGTCATTAGTGAGTCACGACTTCGTTCCCTCCACAGGGAAAGACGAGAATACTGAACGTGAAACAGCAGCGGAGGAAAGGCGTGGGTGCTATTTTGATCTATGATCTAATTTTAGCTCGGCATCGGCTTCAAATAGAAACCTCCCCATAAATATTCATGAATGGAGGGGAAAAGTCTGCAGCTCTGCAATGCAGAGGGAATAGAGAGGGGAGGGGATGGCTCCGTCTTCCACCTGAACGTCTATTTTTAGCTGCGTGGCTGCTTCTCTCAGTCTATTCCCCGTCCACAGGGGGGCTAAATTTAGCCGCGTCGGAGGCAGGAGTGTCATCCAGAGACCAAAATAGAATCACGTTTATGGTCAAAGCACGCAGGAGCAGCCGAGGGTGCAGCATCGATATGGAGGTCAGGACAAGATAGATGGAGACGGCGGGGTGAAGAGGGTGGAGTGGCTGTAGCTCCGAGCCTGTGATGCTTGTAGTAGTAACTGGAAAGGGTGGATGTGTGCGTGTATGAATCAAAACTACACACACGATGGGCGTATTTGGTGGTGCGTTTCACTGCTGTTCAAGGCATTGTTCACACATCTGAAACAGGGGTAATGCACATTTTTTAGGTGATAATTAATCCTCCCACACACACACACAGACAATCAAACACACGTGTGTACGTTTACAGGTATACATCCAGCGTTTACTGGCTCTTCGATATTCACAGCCTCTCTGCTCTTCCACTCCTCACCCCTCTGTCCGACCTCCGATGTCCTCTCGCTGTTCAGTGCCGTCAGTGAGTCCGGGTCCATCACGCGAATGGAGGGGTGGGGTCTTGTGCTCGGTCTTACGTAACAGCCAGTAACACACCAACAGTCTTGTCCTCGTGCAACATGCTAGGGGTTAGCTGGGTGGGGAGGGGCACTGAAGGAATGAGTGAGGAGAGGAATCAATGCCATGTTTACATGTTGATGTTAGTCTGTGGAAAACAATGCATTCTTTACATTCTAACATGATAAACAAACGTGTCAATCATGTCCAACATGGTACCTGGTAGTATGTTACATATACATCGATGACTTTTCTGTTGCATATAGTGTTAATCAAACAGCTTATAATGTGAAGACGGAGCGACTTAATTCAGTGCTGTGTTATTCAGTTCTTAGGTGATGAGGTTTTGATGTTGTGTTTCAATATTTCCCATACATATCATCAACAGACATTTTAAGCTTAATCACTCCTGCACTCATATGGGCTCGTTTTCACTGCTGTACGTATTTAAAAGATGAAATGTGTGTGTAAGCTACTTGCCTGCCCAAAATTCCACCGCGCTTCGCTGAACGCTTGTTTTGCTAAAGCGTAGATTTCTGCTCTGGACTTCCTCAGACTGTTTAGAGAAGGAAAAGTGTTTCCAAGCGGCGCTGCAGGTTGCCACAGTCTCTCTGTGTTCACACGTCAGCAGAAGGGCTGTGGGGAAAAAAAGTGGAGACCTGAATCGAAGCACAAACGTGCCCAGACCGTGACGGACAGTGTTGTGCCTTTCTTTGGGTCATGTTGGATCAGCAGGGGCTCCTCCTCACCTTAGACTCACACTCCCATGGCCCCATGTCAATACCTGATGCTGCTTTTATACCTGATACACACACACACATATGCACACATGCAGGACTCTTCCACCCCGCCTGCATGACATCAGGCTTCACGCCTTTAATAATGTGTCAATACAATTTTGCACGGTTATTTCAGGACACACAAACAGGCAGGTGGGCTGTGATGGGATTTGTAGAGGTCTCCAGAAGAAGCAGGCCACAAGCGATTTACAGCCATCACAATTACAAGTCTGGGGCTCTCAACACCCCCTCATTGTGGTACCTTTCTAATTTTTGTTTTTTCCTATCACGGACAATTTAAATCCAGTGCTGGTTTTAGTCGTATCAGTGTGATAACTGCACTCCCACATATTCACACTCACATGTACTTTGTGGCACCTTCCTAAATTTGTCGTTTTTAGCTTTTATTTCGGTCTTTATTGTTTCATAACGGTCTCACTTCCTTCGGAATTACACTATTTCCTTTTCCAGAGATAAAAACGTCTGAATGGTGTTACCCACTGATGAAAGCTTGTTATATTTTTAGTTTTGAAGTATTGTTTATTGTATTTCTGCCTTTCATTGTTCCTGGAGTGGTACCAGTCTCTCTCAACAAGCGTAACATTTAACCAAATAGTCCGTAGTCTATGGATCTTAATTGATCCATGTGATTGTCTAAAACTAATTTATTCTATTTCATTTAATTGAAAGGACCCGTCAGTTGGTATATTTCTGTACTGTACTACATTCATCAGTATGTAATATTCAACTAATAATCACAAGGTGACAAACTGGACATGTCAGAGATGTATACAGAGAGAGATTCATGGAGGAATGCTGTCAGCTGACATGTGTTATATATCATATATAACACATGTCAGCTGACAGCTGATATTGTTATTGCAAGATTGATATTTTAGGAGTAAAAACGTTCATTTGTTAATGGTTTTACAATGGAAGCATATGAGAAGGACCACATCGATGCTTCTTTCATTTCCTTTCCACTCTGTGAAATGAATTGCTATATTTGTGTCTACATCCATAAAATGTGTCTTAAAACATTGAACCTGAACGCATCCCCCCCCGCCCCCCTCTCTTGTGGTCATAGTTTCGATGTGGAGAACGGCTTGGCAGTGGGGCGCAGCCCCCTGGATCCCCAGACCAGCCCTGGCTCTGGAGGTCTGGTCTTACAGGCCAACTTTCCCCACAGCCAGCGGCGGGAATCCTTCCTCTACCGCTCCGACTCTGACTTTGACCTTTCACCCAAAGGTCCTTCCAGAAACTCCTCCGCTGCCAGTGACCTGTAAGATTCCAACAATAGTCTCTGAATTATTCCTCCTGCTTGTATGTTGTGTGCAGTATTTGACATGTATATATGTATATGTGTATATTATATGTATAAATTACACACAAAACTACATTCCCACTAAAATAAATAAACCTTTGTGATGCTCTGATGAAATATATACTTGATATTTCACAATGATAAATACTTTCAGCCTCAATCTAAATACCCACTGGGATACGAATATAAGGTTAGTGTTAAATGCCCATAACTAAAAAACGCTCTTCACGTTTTTCTTCCTTGTCCTGAGAGGAAGATTCTAATGGTGGTGCATTGGTTTAAGTGTTGTTTCCCTTACAGCTAACATTTGCCATCTCAATTTTAATAGCAAAATGAAATCTAGTCTTTTTCACATTTTCTTTGGATTCTCGGAGAGCGCTCTGAAGCCAAACAGGTCTACAGCCCAACATTAGTACAACCAGCCGTTCTTCCACCCAAAATACTTGTATATAAAAATCAGCTTCACTGGGATTGCAAGAAATTGGAAGTAAAGGGCAAATTTCTTAAATATTAAATATTCGCTGTTTGTGTTTACTATATGTCCCTGAAACAGTCCCCGACAGAGTTTATATAATGTCTAAACAGCTTTGAGAGTGGAAAGTAAGCAGTCGCAGGTCTCCTCACCGACTCTCGCCTATCTGTTTTTGAAGGGAAGAAAGCTTGAAGCACTGGGAAGTCAACTGGTTGTCATCTCGGTGAGACATGATGAGACAAAATTAAGATAAAAACACTGACTCTGTCCCCTTGGAGCTCTCTTCCTCCCTCTAGATGGCTTCATAGCCATTTACCACTTCTCCCCTGACAAACGTAACTAAATATTAAACACTCCCCCCGCCCCGTCCCCACCCGAAGCACCCAGTTCTTTTTTGTTGGTTTTTGCATGTAACGCTTAGTCAGAGACGACCAAGTCAATTTTTATTTATTTGAGCATCTACCAGTTCATACTTATATCACCCACCCTTCCACCTACCCCAATCTGTTTTATCAGTGCATGACATATTTGTTACATTCTAATATAATGACAAATGGGGGCCGGTGAATGAAGAAATACGATCAACTAAATATGATAACTAATCCTCTGGCTGTCCGGTTTTTCGGACAACCTAATTTTTTGGATAAACTAGAAGCGACAACAGGTGCAGTTTGGTTTCTATCTGTTCCCTCTTAGCCAATATTTTAGCCTTCGCATGTAACGAGTCCCGGTTTCACGCCTCTTCCTCCTGCTTATTCCTTTCTGTATTGCAGACACACAGAAGACATGATTGTGACGCCATTTGCACAGGTGAGTACGTCGAAACCTTCCCATCCAACCTTTTTGGAGCAATTTTCCTTTTCGTACTGTTAGAAAAATTTGCCAGATGGCGAAATAAAAATGAAATCATGTTGATTTGTTTGCCAGAGACAGTAGGTCTTTAAAGAAAACTATAATAAAACTCCAGATGGCACGAGACTGGGCTCACTGCCTCATCGGAACAGCCCCTCAGCATTATGTTGGCCCTGCTACAGGATCAGGCGTCCCGCTGGCGTTGCACGGCTCTTGCGTGGGACGTGCGTCACACTTGTGCTCACTTTACACCACGGAAGCAGCGGTGAACCCAACGCTGCTGGATCATGCTGTTTACATTTGCTCGGAGGCTGATAAGGCCTGCCACACGGGTCGGGCCTGGACACCGGATACGCTGTGGGCTTCCACTGTGCGCTGAGTCAGTGTTTGGCTACAGATGGAGTGACAGACATGACATAGAGGGCGTCAGTGATGCCATCAAAACATCAGAAGGGGGAATGCCTCTGCGCAGCACTTGAGCTCGGAGAACAAAAGCCACAGCGTTTGGTTTCATGCGCTTGTCAGGGATTCACATTAAGAGGCCTCATCTAGTTCCAGATTGATTGAGTTCAGGAATATTCAAGTATGTAATATATATGTGTGATGTATATTTATATACACATACATATAAGTCATATCTTAAGTCTCTCGTTCCTATCTCATAGGTCCTTGCCAGCCTGAGGACAGTCAGAAGTAACTTTGCTGTCATAACAGACCAGCAAGATCGCACAGCCAGCAAGTAAGCTTTTAGAAAATGTATTCAAATGAATATTCTGGCGATTTAATCGTCACGCTTTACAAATATATAATTATAACTATGTGACTTTGCTGTCTATGGATGTTCTCTGTCTACAGGACGCGATCCTCAGGCAGCAACCCACCATCCATGTGCAAGACCAGCCTCGCAGGTCTGTAGAGGTTATTAGTTTGCTCTCTACGAATCAACGTGCCGTTGTCAACACGGACCTCGATCAGAAAGACAGACAGACGTCCACGACATTACTATGATTGCATTTGTGAAATAGGCATCTGGCAACGGTATACCGAATTAGTGAATGAAGTTCAGTGGTGGTGGAGGAAGTATTAAAATGCTGTTCTAAATTGTAGTGAATTATTATCAGTAATAAACAGAAGTGATTCTACTCAAACAAGGGCCCCTTTAGTGTTCACAGTTACATCATCATTCCTGTTGCATTAATGTATAGGCGACTTTTTATATTTTGCTTTTGCGATGTAGCAAGATTGAGCTATTATACTTGTTGATTATGCAAAGCAGATTAATCAATAATTCTGCTGTCATATTCTACAAACTCAACATGTGTCTTTAATCGCTAATCTTATTCAAACGGGATGTTCATGGTCTGCTGCTCGTATCCTTCCCATAATGCTTCACTGTGTTCTTCTGGCACAGAGGAGCCTCACCAGCAGCTGGCCATAGAGACGCTGGATGAGCTGGACTGGTGTCTGGAACAACTAGAGACACTGAAAACCCGGCACTCTGTCAGCGAGATGGCTTCCAACAAGGTACTTCAGCGTAAAACGTACCAAAGTGTAATACTGCACATACACACCTGTCAGAGGACGAGGGGGGAGATACACTCCGCCTCACCGCTCAGGGTAACGTTAATAGTACGGTGATTCACCCCACTTATTTTATTAATTACTGAATGACCATTTCTGAGGTAGTGGATAATAAAATCAATTCATCATTTTCATTATTTTCTTGAATTAATAGAAGGCAATCTTCCACAGACTTAAATAACACAGAGCTCTGTGTAAAATACAAAGCGTGTGGGTGTGTGTGATCCACTGCGAGAGCAGTTAGTCTGTAAACAAATCTGAAAGCTCACTAATACGCTACAAACGACAAATGTATGAATAGTCTCCCACCTGCCAGCGGAGGGGAGAGGGGGTTATTCCATGAATGAGTGGGATGGCTTCATGCACGCACGTAGAGACCAGGCCCTCCCCCCCACTCGTGTGCAGAGAAATGTTGATGAGGTAGAGATGAAACGGCACCCCCCTCCCCCCTCCCCTCATCCCTTCTACGTGCTTCCATCCTTCTGTCTCCTCAGATCTCCGATCTCGTGTGGTTCCTTGATTATACCGCCCACATAACACACGCACACCCACACCCACACACCCCACTTTGCTTGCCTTGCAGTGGAGGCTGGAGCAGCTTCTTCTTTTGTTCATGGAACTATTGATGATAATGGTGCACATATTTGTAGTGTGGTAGTTTATTTGTGGCCACGTGAATGGAGTCCCCCCCCTCCTCCATCCATCTAAAGCTTCTCCTCATATCTTCTTCAAACTTGGTGCACATGGTGTGTCTCGCAGCCTCCTCCTGTGACGTGTTCGGCCCCGCCTACTTTCTACCTCCGCCCACCAATGAGGGCCGCCGGTGTCCCCCGAGCGCTCCCGCAGCAGCCGCCTGATTGGCTGCTATTCTTAGACTCTTTCTTTTCTCTTTTTTCCTTTTGGAAGAAGGCGGAGATCGGAGTACCTCGTTCTCCCTCTGTTTACACACACACACGGGGAGCAGTAACTGAGTGAATGGAGTCAGGGGGAACGAGGGAGTGTGACCTCCTCGCATCCTCGCGTCCACACTCTCCTTCTCCAACAACGGGGTGCTTTTTTTTTTTTTTTTTTAACCATCTGCTCCGCTTGCACTGACCAGTGGAGCGACCAGTGGACCTGTCTGCTGGCTTTTGGGTTCTGCGGTGCAGGAGCACACGCTGTCCCCGCTGCCGGAAGCTGCAGCTCTCTCTGTCTCTCAGTTTGTCTCTCCATGTTTAACTTTGCGCTGAAATGCCAGAGGAGAGTTATTTCATCACGGTGTCGTGGATGTTCCTGCAGGTGAGGAGAGGCGAGGGGGAGGCAAAGTGGGGGAGTGATGAGCGGGTCCGAGAAGTAGTTGAAGATGTGACTGTGGAAACATTCTTTTAGATTTGTAGATTGGGGGGGGGGGGATTTGATAAACATGATCCACATGCGTGCGGATCACTTCGGGAAAGATCGGTGATGCTTCGGTTTGTGTCCATTCAGTACTTTTTGCAGCGTCTGTTCAAATTTGAAATGCTTCAAATGGAGAAAATGTGTTGTTGTTGTTGTTGTTGTTGTTGTTGTCATTGTGGCTTTACCAATAGATGGTTGTGATGGTGTTCTGAGTTTTAGTTTATAGTTCTGCTATGTTAAGCTTTGGTCCAAATTATTGCTCTTTGGCTTCAAGCACACGTGGAATCTAGAGTTGTGAGTTGCCTTTGTATCTCACATTAGATGTGGCCTGAGCGATGACACTACAAACGCCAAACCTGATGGTAAAATGTCCCACGCTGGGACATACAAACTTACGACTAACAAATGAAGACCTAACAGCCGCGTTCAACAAGTTTACATTTCTCCAGAGGGCAGGATTTCGTTTGTTCAAAATACGGATGATGCCTGTTCGATCTGTTCCAGTCTGTCCGCATTTTAGTGAAAAAGCGAGTGGGACCAAACTTGTGGATGCTCTTATTGTGTGTGTGTGTGTTTGTGTGTTCTGTCCTCAGTTCAAGAGGATGCTGAACCGAGAGCTCACCCAGCTGTCAGAAACCAGTCGTTCGGGGAACCAGGTGTCTGAGTTCATCTCTAGTACCTTCTTAGGTAAAACACTTTCACTTTGTGTATTAAGCTCTCTTTTAAAATATGCATCCCATCCCGCGTTGAAGAAAAATGGCTACTCGTGAAATTGCTGTCGGACTGCCGCGTTAACATTGTGTCTGACTGCATCTGACAGAGAAGCAACATGACATGGACATCATGTCTCCCCCCACCAAGGAGAAGGACAAGAAGAAGCGGCCCATGTCCCAGATCAGCGGTGTGAAGAAGGCCACCCACAGCCCCAGTCTCGCCCCCTCCACCATCCCTCGCTTTGGGGTCAACGCCAGCCAGGAAGGGCTCCTGGCCAAGGTACGCGGACGAGTTCCGCACTTGTTTGTCTCCATTCAAATCACTCTCCCTCGTAATGCATTTGTTATAATAATGTATATTTGTGACTAGGAGTTGGAGGAGGTTAACAGGTGGGGCATTGACATCTTCAAGGTCTCTGAGTATTCTGGGAATCGCCCCCTGACGGTCACCATGTACACCATCTTTCAGGTATCACTTGGCTCAGTAAATGTGTGAACACGACAGTAAATAAATGAGTGAAGCAGTGACGTAACAAAGGCCTTTCGGTAAATTATTGAATTGATGATTAAATGATTGACTCGTGTGTTCCGGCTCTGCTGCTGCTGCTGCTTTAGGAACGCGACCTGCTGAAGTCCTTTAAGATTCCAGCGGACACTTTCATTACCTTCATGATGACTTTGGAGGATCATTACCATGCCGACGTGGCCTACCACAACAACATCCACGCGGCAGATGTGGTCCAGTCCACCCATGTCTTACTGTCCACGCCTGCTCTGGAGGTCGACTGAGAGCAGACACAAACTTAATCGCTATTCAAATAAAACGCTGGCATCACACACATATATTGACAGTCCCTGCCGTCTTGTGTTTGTCCAAGGCTGTGTTTACTGATCTGGAGATCCTCGCCGCTCTGTTTTCAAGCGCCATCCACGATGTGGATCACCCTGGAGTTTCCAATCAGTTTCTCATCAACACCAGTGAGTTTGCACAGCTCCGCTGGGATGTCGTGAACGTGCGTGGGCGCCGAGTGTATTCATTAACCATGCGGACGAGGTGCCTGTATACACGAGTCTGTGTAGAGTTGTGTTTCTGCGTTTGTTTCTTTCCCCGTGCTGCCTGTTGAAGCACATTCGTACTCCATTTGTTTTGCGTAGACTCGGAGCTGGCCCTGATGTACAACGACTCCTCGGTGCTGGAGAATCACCATCTGGCCGTCGGCTTCAAGCTTCTGCAGGAAGATAACTGTGACATCTTTCAGAACCTCGGCAAAAAGCAGAGACAGTCGCTGCGCAAAATCGTCATCGATATGGTAGGAGACCCCGGTGAAACCTTTGAGAATGTAGGCGTGCTGCGGTTTCCTTTCTGAAATGTGCCTCTGTTTTCCCAAACCACCCGCAGGTGCTGGCCACAGACATGTCGAAACACATGAATTTACTGGCAGACTTGAAAACCATGGTGGAAACCAAGAAAGTCACCAGTCTAGGAGTCCTTCTGCTGGACAACTACTCAGACCGCATACAGGTGAGAACCGTGTCATCCGTTGGGAAGAGCTGCATTATCAACAGATGGACCATTGTGGAGATACCATTCACTGTGGAGAAAAAAAACACCAAAAAAAGCTGAAAAGAAATGTTTTTTTCTGACCGCAGGTCCTTCAGAACATGGTGCACTGTGCCGACCTAAGCAACCCCACCAAGCCTCTGGAGCTTTACCGTCGGTGGACGGACCGCATCATGGTGGAGTTTTTCACCCAGGGGGACAGGGAGAGGGACAAGGGCATGGAGATCAGCCCCATGTGTGACAAACAAAACGCCTCAATAGAGAAGAACCAGGTATACCATTGAAAATTATACATTTTAAATTGACTGAATTGTCTTTTTGACAAAAAAGACAATTCAGCACTTGAAGGGAATTCCCCGTATTGATATAAAACACCCCTCCCTCTTCCAGGTGGGTTTCATTGACTACATTGTTCATCCTCTGTGGGAGACGTGGGCCGACCTCGTCCACCCCGACGCTCAGGAGATCCTGGACACCCTGGAGGATAACAGAGAGTGGTACCAGAGCATGATCCCCCACAGCCCCTCGCCCCACCCGGAGGACCAGCAGGAAGGAGCCCGCGCCGGGGAATCCTCAGCGCTCATCGGGGGCGGAGGCTCCGTTTCGGCCGACAAGTTCCAGTTTGAGCTGACATTGGAAGAAGAGCGAGAGTCTGATACAGAGAGTCCACCCGAGGAAGAGGAGGGCTTTAGCAGCAGTAGAGGGACTGAACTCTCCAGAACTGATTCTGGCAGCAGGTGCGATGCGGGATCTGCTACGACTCGCCTACTCACCAAAAAGCTCTCTACAGATTCGGGCAGGACGTTTTCTTTAGACTCTGATATGGCCGAAGACAGAGAAGCAGACCAGGAAGGCGTCTCTGGCGTACCACGCTTCCGACTTGGCACATAGCACCCGTCAAAAGTTGTATTTCTTTTGGCCTTTTGTTTGTCTTGCCTCCTCCTGTCACTCTCCTTCTCCCATTCCAATCCAGCACCACCAACTCTGGCTCCCGAGGTCAGGGGCACCGCGACCCTCGCGACGGGGAGTGCGGGTGGGGTTTGGGAGGAGTTAAGACTGTCTGCAGTTCTACACTGGAGGGAGACAGTCGCTGTTCCAATAGAGGACAGGAAGTCCGGCGTTCCGGAGCAGTCCCTTTTCGTTCTGTGTCTCTCAGTCAGACATACTGTGGATAGAGTTCTACGGGGACAACAAGCCCGTTAACGGCCAACTCAAGCTGTACTACAACAAACGACAAAGCGGTCTTCCTCTTTTGTGAAGAAATTGAGGATGGGATGAATGAGCAAAAAAATAGTAAACACACAACAACATCTTGTAAGACATTTTGCCAAACTTACACTTTAAAGGGTTTTGCATGCATTTGTTTATTCTGTTATATTTTATTTAGGTTCACATGCAGTGAAATACATTGAATGAAGATACAGTGAATAGACTACGAAACAGTGTGAGCAGCAAATTAATGGCAGAAAGGAACTATGCAGGATTCTTTAAATGTAGCTGACATTTTGAGTGATTATTGTATAAGTAGCCCTCCTTTCAGGTGACGTTGCACAGCCCATTTAATTTTATTCAGCAATCATTTTCAGAAAGATTTAACCATAACAAAGTAGCCGACATTTAATGCTTACTATTTCCATTTTTTGTAACTAATCAATGATAGTGTCAGCGGCCAATCTGAGCCAGGGTCAGTGACGCGTTGTATAGTCAACGAATTACATCCAAAGCAATGAGAACTATGCACATAGCGCCTCCCAGTGGTGATAAGTGGGACTGACGTTCTGGCATTGGAGGTAATTCTTGCAATGTGAACAAATGCATTTAAGACGTATTTCACTGTAGGACTCCCCAAAATATCAGATATGTTTCAGTTTTATTTCTCTTTTATTTGTGTTGTCTTTTTTTTGTCGCTTATTTTGTCGTTCTTCGCATTCTGCACCCCTTTTATCAGTTTGCCTTCAAGTTTAGCACTTTACGGTTTTAACTAGCCCTCATTGTGTTTTTTAAGGGCTTGAGCGAAGACATGAACTCATTGAAGGCTGTTGACAAAAAAAAAAAAACCTGTTTCATTTGCTGCCAAGTAACCAGCACGGACATCATGCAAAAACTAAACGCTGCAGCACGGCCATGAATACTACACAATATGTTACACAGAGCATCAACCTCCTAAAATGCAGTTTCTTGAAACATCCACTTGCATACATTTCTAAACTGACAGCGGCAGTGTGTTAGAAACACAAGGGTTTAAAAAGAAGCATGGTAGCATCATTATAACTGCAAAAAGAAAATAATTGAGGAGACTGTTTCATATGCCACATTTTTCATCTTTTTTCTCTCATTGATCAATATTTCGCTCTTCACAGGGACAAAGTCAATGACAAAACAAGTGCCAAGCAAGCATGACACAACCCGTACTGTAATTTCCATTTTGCCACTGGCTACTTTCCATCAGCGACTGATAAAGTTGGTTGATTGTAGCACTCTGTGTGCCAATCTGACCCCAGTGATTTTTGTCCTTGTTCAAACAGTAACTGTAACTGAAATTGATATTTTCTTAAACCAATGATGTGTTTTTGTGTGTGCGATTGAATGACTGGGTTGACTTTTTTAATGTGTTTGCTAAGAAAAAACCAAAGCACTTTGTATGGTACTTTACAGTTCTGCACTTCCAGTACAGTTGAACATGTATGGTGACTGTTTTTTTTAGCAAATAGCCGGGTGGTTGAATGGAATCGTGTGGGCTGGACCACTACAGCTCTCAAAGGTCACATGTTGGAGGGGTTGAAGTTTGTTTTTGTAATGGACGTGTCATTGGCTGCAGGATTTAAATAAGAAGATAGAGATAATTTACTAAACTTAGTCTGAGGAGAAATTTTGTATTCAATTACCATGAAACAGAGTGAATCCCGTGTTAATGTGTGAACAAGCTGAACAGTTTTTGACGCCTTATTTTCAAAGTTGGCTTTTTTTTTTCCTTCACTGTCATGCTGGATTAAACATTTGCAATCCTTTCGGTATCCATTAACAGCACCAAGGATGCCTTCAATATTAAGGTCTATTTAACAGCTTAAAAGCACAACATGCAAACATTAGTTTGTCTCTCTGAATGCCACTAATTGTTGGATTTTGTTCACAGTTTTCTTCACAGCTCTTCGTGTACATTTTATTTATTATTTCTATATTATCTGTCAGAAAACAATGGAACAGTAGTTTTTTTTGTCGGAGGTGTAGTATAACTTAATGTTTAGAAAGTCACACGGGACAAATTTCAACCATAACTCAGCTGTTTTCCTTCTCGTTCCATTACTTTATTGCTTGCAAATAATGTGATACATACGCAAAAATACTCACTTTCATGTTTTTCTTTGTATAAAAAATGTTTAGTGACAGATTTCTGTATGAGTTTTCTGAAACATCTCTCCCGTCTTCCTCAGTTTTCACAATCACGTGATCTTACAGTAAGTGTGCTAATCTCAGACGTGTTTCATGTGATTCATAGTGAAGATTATTTAGTCACAGAACTTCAAGTCATCCTATCAGTATTTCCGTTTTTAGACATAGAACAAAGATCATGAACTACGACTGCAGCGTTGACAATCCCAACTGTTAGCCCTCTCTCCAACTAGAACTGTATGCCTTGCCAATAAAAAAAAAAACTATTCACTCTAAGTCTTGTTGTCTGCTTTAACAAAAATAATAATATCAAATAGTAAAGCAGAATCCTCTTGTTATAATACTATCGTGATCTTAAACTATAGATGAAACAACCTAAGAAACATAAGAAAGGTAGCAATACCTCAACCATATGTGGATTTGTAACAATAATAACAACAATTGCATATTGAATATGATTTAACACTCAGAAAGATTTTCTCCATAATGAGTATATTTTGCTTGTAACACCTCTACAACGCTCTCATTGATTTCTCTGGTATCCCACCATTCACTCACCACTACTACATTCACTTTTGATTTGCACAAATAATACTGAATTGACGCCTATGAGTAATTTTCTAAAGGGCTGGGCTGAATGAACGGGAGCCCTTCTCTGATTGGCCAACAGTCCTGCCAATCATCCTTACGCTCTGTACCCGCTTATGTTACTGCAGGTGCAAAGCTGGACTCTTGGCTAGCCGCTGCTGGGAAGCCGAGGATAAAACACACCGTTAACGGTAAACCCTGCGCTTATCTGTCACTGCGGGACCAGGTCAAGTCCATCCGGTCTCAAGGGCTTTTTATTCGGGTGGTCTGTCCGTCGCCGTGTCCTGGGTTTTGACAGATAATTAAGTCGTGAATAAGGAAGACCTTCATTTGACATAACGCTAACTGGGATGCTTAGCTAGCTCCTGCTGCTGCTTTTATCAGCCGGTAACGGTGCGTTAGCATCACAGGTGGCGATTCAAAAAGGCTAAAAACTCACATTCGCGTCTGTATCGCTTCCACGTCTTTAACACGTGTTTCGGGGCTTTATTAAAAGTAGCTGCTGACTGATGCATGAAAAAAAATGCCTTGTAATGTTTCGTTAATGTCCCCTCCCTCCTCCCCGTCTCCAGTTAACGCGAACCTCTTCCAAAGCAGCTAGCATTTTATATGTAGCCATGCTAACGCGAGATAAGCTCCACTGACAACGAGGAGACGGTTTCAGGCCGTTTAACTTTATTCGCATCACGTCGCGTTCAGAAACTTGTCGGCTGGCCCGGCAGGCGTGACCCGCCTCATCCGAGTTTATTCGGGGGGAACTCGGCGGGTGGTCGTTAGGAGTTGTATTCGGACCGGGTTCGTGCCGCCCCGATAGGAGCCGCCGGATGGTTCGTTTAGCCGATGCTTAAGTCCGCTAAGCTGCGGCACTTCCGGCCTCTCATCCCGCTGAGGCGTTATTGACGTGAAATGTGGGAACCCTGCGGGCTGGGTATCGGCTGCTGGTATTGACGCAGCCCCCCCTCGGAGAAACTGCTTCATAATAACATCGCTGGATAACAGTCAGCGGACTGTGTTTTAGGAGTCCGACTTGGCATCACGCAGCGGGCCATAATGGCTTGTTAAGCCCGTCCCGGGTGTGATGGGGCTGTTTCACAGAGTGGATTTAGATGGTCTGAAGTATGGTGATGATTTGCTTTGCTAGTTATTACTTCCACGGTAATCCTCCCAGATGTGCCCCAGGATGGGCTGTGGATTGTGATGAGATTCATAGACGCCACCTCTGGAGTTTGGAAGAGCGCAAACCAATCAAGATAAACATTTCGTCTACAAAATGTTTAATTGACTTGATTATTCCAACTCGTTATACACCCTTTTAACCTTCTATATATTTCTAGATGTGTTGTATTATCTATTATTGTAATTCTATATGTATTAATAACTTCAGGGACTTGTCTTATCAGGGGGTGGTCTTGTTTGTCTTGACATCACCAGCTTCCTTTTCATGTGTCTTAAACCTGCTCATCTTTTTATTGTATTGTATTAATTATAGATCAACGGATTGATGAAAGGTGGGCTAATCTGTGATGTGTCCTAATCTTAAACAGCAGAATTTGCTCAAAGGTGACACGGGCAGGGTGTTTCATTTTTACCATTCATGCAAACATGAAATGTTTCATCCAGCAACAGGAGTTGTTTCTGCACGGGGTTGACACACACTTTAGAGAACAGTGCCTACTTATTCTGATCTGATGAGATACAACAGCGCTACCCTGGTTTATATAACGTGTTCTTTTGAGAAAATGTCCGGGAGGCTTTAATTCGACGTGTGTGCGTGTGTGTGTGGTTGTGTTTTGTTTGTTTTAGGTATTATTAAGGTCTATCTATTGTTACATGCTGTTACTTAAATCAACTTCCCTGGAACTGATTAACATGAGGTCTTGATCTTTGCATAGATGGCGTCTGCAAATGCCACATACGGACAGAAGGAGTCCTCGGACCAGAACTTTGACTACATGTTTAAAATCCTCATCATTGGCAACAGCAGCGTAGGAAAGACTTCCTTTCTTTTCCGCTACGCGGACGACTCCTTCACGCCAGCCTTCGTCAGCACGGTGGGCATCGACTTCAAGGTGAAGACCATCTACAGGAACGACAAAAGGATAAAGCTGCAGATATGGGTGAGGAAGTGAACACTCATGCATTTAGGTGGAAAGGAGGGAGGGAATCACAGTAGCTTCTCAATAGCTGACTTTTTACTCCAGACTCTTTAAAAAGTTATGAGAAGTCAATGAAAACTCGCATTGCTTTGCTTATTGCTTCCTTTGGCATTGAAACGCGCCTAATTAATAAATGATCCAATACGTTAATCGTCTGTATTAATCGTCTGTCAATTAAATAATCAACTAGTCGTGGCAGCTCTAAAAGTATTTTCAAATCAACAGAACTAACGTAAATTAGATTTCTACTTGCAGTGTCTTTCGTAAGAATGCTGAGTTTTCATGTTCCATCACACATGTGACCCCAGCAGCTTCTATTACCACGTGTCTCTAATGGTTACCAGCTGTCCCTGGAATTACTTCATCTGCTGCGCAACGGCAATACCCTTGAAGTGTTCTAAACATGAGCTATAAAGCCCGAGCCTGGGACCAATTGCTTATTAAATGTGTGTGTGTGTGTGTGTGTGTGTGTGTGTGTGTGTGTGTGTGTGTGTGTGTGTGTGTGTGTGTGTGTGTGTGTGTGTGTGTGTGTGTGTGTGTGTGTGTGTGTGTGTGTGTGTGTGTGTGTGTGGTGGGGGGGGAGCAGAGGAATACCTCGTGATCTTGGGAGTTTGGCTCAATGTTCATTGGCAATCATCGGGCGGCACGATGCATAAAGAATAAATCCTTTGCATGTGCTGTGTGACAATGGTCTGCAGACAAAATCCGAATGCATATTTAATCCTACGTGGAAATGAGGGTGTTTAGACGGCAACCTGAGCGAAAACACGTTTATCGGGTCCATGAGACGATGACCAACATATATTTGCTAAAATGTATTTGTTTAGGACACTGCTGGCCAGGAGCGCTACAGGACAATCACAACAGCTTACTACAGGGGAGCCATGGGATTCATCCTCATGTATGACATCACCAACGAGGAGTCCTTCAACGCCGTCCAGGACTGGTGAGTGTGTGTGTGTGTGTGTGTGTGTGTGTGTGACAACTTGAGAACATACTATGTTATTTAGCTAATTTCACTCCCCTTTCTTGGTCTGGATTTCTGAGATCAGGGTTTAACGAGACGCATAGATGCACACGGATTGAGCAACCAGACGAGTACTCAGGGGGACATGTTCCAAACACGTCCTGCATTTTATCCAGTTCTGTTGCAACTGTTGGCAAGGGAAATTACTGAGGAAAGCACTATTAACCCTCACTGCTCAGTCACACTTCTACCGAAAGTAAGTCGCGTTTTCGTTTTAGTTAAATTAGTGGTTTCATAATTATGTTGAACCTGACTTATTAGAAGCTCGTCGGTTAGCTTGTGTTGTGTTACCATGGTCACTATTTTTAAGCTATTTCAAATGGCTTTTTCACTTTCTCGTATCTCAAAAATATTCTCTTTGGTTAACATGAGACTGATGGAGGTAAAAGACATAAATGTGTCTTTTCTCAGAAGTCAAAGCATTTGTTTTTAGGTCTGTTCTAGTACGACTTCACCTAAGATAAACAATTCTGTGGTTCTCTGTTAGATAATATAGCAAAACCCTGTGTTCTACATCTAACAGGTCGACCCAGATCAAGACCTACTCGTGGGACAATGCCCAGGTCCTCTTGGTGGGCAACAAGTGTGATATGGAGGATGAACGAGTGGTGGCCTCAGAGAGGGGCCGACAGCTGTCAGAACAGCTGGGTAAGTCAGCTGGTCACAGTAAAACTGCGTTGCTTTTCCACCATGGCTCGTCTCCTGGGTGCATCAAAGAAAAGGATAGATCATTTTGACCATATAATAACCTTCCTAATGTATGCTTCAAAACATTTGCAGTAGATTTATATTAGCATGTTTTTTTTCTTCTTCATTTTAAGTTATTGTTTTGTCAAAAAATGTCGTCTTTAATTAGTTGGCATGCCCTTATAATAGTTGAACTTTTTATTCTGCCATGTTACCTAATTTCCCCAGGTTTGAAACTGACTTTGCAATCCTTTAGGCTCACGTGATTGTAAATCAAACGCAGCTACGTCAATAAACAATACTTTAGGAATTAGCCACACTGAGTCATAGTCCGACATGTAACTTGACAGTAATTGTACTTAATTTTATGTATAATCTGGTACACTTGTGAATGGACTTAATTCCTAAATACTTCCACAAATCCAAAATGAAATTTTGACCACCGCTTCATATGAGAATCATAGCCTCTCTGTGTCTGTCCCGCGCAGGTTTCGAGCATTTTCAAGCAAGTGCTAAAGATAACATTAACGTGAAGCAGACCTTTGAGCGGCTGGTGGACATCATCTGTGAGCGGATGTCAGACAGTTTGGACAACAACGACCCAAATGTCACTGGCACTAAACAGGGACCGCAGCTCAGTGAGCAGCCGCAGAGGTCCCATCAGGATTGTGCTTGCTAAACATGACCCCCCCCCCCCCTCCCCCCATACACACACACACACACACACAGATTCTTTCTGCCGTCCTAAGGTCCACACTACTTTTTTTTAGGTTTTACTTCCACTTTCGGTTTCTTCGTATTTGCACATTTACACAACCTGAAGCCCCCCCCGCCCCTCTATCTACGGGAAGAGCATTGTCCACATCTCAGTCATACAGAGATTGTGTGTCTGTGCTAACTTAGTCAGGGGGTTGAAAAACAATTAACAGCGGTACAATCCCCTTTCTTACTTGAACACGTTTACACACACACACACACACACACACATGCTCAATCCTTCTCTTAACATACTTATAAGAGACCAGTGACGGCTGAGACTCCATCATTCCTTGTTGACGTGTGCGATTGAGGTTTTACTATTAAAGAATGTGGATCCTCCAATTTAAAGGCCCCGCTCAGCACACCTCAAACCTATATGGATACAACTTTGTTTTACTTTTATTCCCATTGAAAATATACATTCTTTGCTGTGGATACTGTTTTTTTCGTTTTTATATACACATATTTTGGGGTTTGTTGGGTGTAGGGTGAAACCACTGGCTCTGGTCAGTGCTGTGATTGACTTTCTACAAATGGTTGCGGTCAGAGTTTGACGTCCCCATGGGGTCATTTAAAAAAACTAAACGTTTTTCTTCTAATTTTAGGAATAAATGTAAGAATAGCAAAAGCCTTGTACATTGATTTGCTGGTCAGGTTGTTGTTATTCATTTCTTTTAGTGTAATTGGATGGCAGTATTTTTTTTATTTCGCATAGTCTCACCAAATTGAGAAGAGTGTATAAATGTTTAAACAATATACATGCATTCAAAAATGATTAAATAATATTTATACATAAATAGGTATATTATACAATAGTAATTTAGGACAATGGGTTGCTACTTGTGTTTTAGTGAGCATGATGTTGTTTTTAACCGTTTCTGGTGGATTGGACGGTTATTTGTATGAGCTACTGTCTGTATTGTCTTGGAGTTTCCGTACTTTGAGGTACCAAATGGGGCTAAAGGTTTCACACGTTAAGCCCACAACCCCATTCTCATTGTATTAACTTTAACTTTAACTCACTCCATCCAATGTGCAACACACTCTGTAGAGAGGCATGTGATTCAATGTGACCACTGTCATACCAGAGACCTCTCCTGCAACTTCAGATGGAAGGTATTTCCATCTCTACATTATGGGGGAACCTTATGTTTTAAAGCATGTTAAATGTCAAATGTGTGTGTTCTCTCCCTCTGATGTTACTGTTTGTCTGCTTGTGTAATACAGTACAAAACCTTATATAAGTCATGCAAGGCATGCTGCAATATGTTCACCAATTAAGTTATTTCAAAATAGAGATTTATTTTGCATATTTATAACCTAATCTACTTTTTAAGATAATTTTCTTCCTAGGTTATGCATCACGGGCTGCACTGTACTTTTTAAGGAGATGTTCAATAGTATTCGATTATTTAAACTCTGCCAGCTTTGAAGTTTCCAGTTTAAAAATGGTTTATCTCAGCACAGCTTTGGAGGGAAGTTGGTTTGTTTTGTTGTTATTTAGCTTCCAAGACTTGGTGGTGTAAAAGCAGATTGTTCTCTCAGAGCAATAGTCTTCCTTTCCCTCCGCACCCAAAATGAGCAATCCACTACGGAGGGCGTGTAACGTACGTGAGAGAATATACGGTTTCTGTAAAGGCGTGAATTGTTCTTTTCGAAGACATCTCAACATGTTCAAAGCCCAAGAGGGTGTCTGTTAGACTTTAGTGGGACTTGCACCAACACGTGTTGTAATGCTTTCCTACTCTGTGCACCAGCGTTGAACGAGGGCAAACGGTTGGGGAAGTAAAGTGAATACTCTGAACGCTGATTCTTACTTCGTTGTTTGATTTTTTGTTACTTTACTTACTTATTTATTGTGTTTTACTGCTGGTGATTTAGGGACACTTCGCAATGCTGTTCAACTCCTTTTTTCCTGCCTCCCATGTCTCATGTAAATAGAAAACTTTCTGCCTGTCGGGTGTTGGTTGTGTGAATTGTGCTGTATTTCCGTATTGACAGATTTGCTAAAGTGGGGAAATTAAAAAAAAATCTAAAAGCCAGAGTTTTACGGTCAACAATTATTCCCAAAAGTCAATAAGACGTTTCTTTTTGTGCCCAGCAGAGGGCATACTTGTGCAATAATGCCTCGTTTTCTACCCTGAGAGTTGTTTGACCATCTATGGTTTGGTTCAGCTTCCCCTACTACTCTTGATACAACACCCACTTTTTATAAGAGCATATGCAAAGGTGTGAATTTAAAAAGCTATTCCTGCAAACGTTCCCTCTAACTAATAAAGCAAGCGCGGCCTCCCGGTCTTTGTAAGAAACAGACCCTGTGAGCTTTAGTAATGTAGTGAATTTAATAAATGTCAGGTAGAGACTTGAGAGTCCATTACACATGGATAGATAGCGCTTTTCTCAGCACGTACATACATTCATGGAAGTTTGGTAACTGAAGAACTACACCGCAGCCACCACAATGAAAAACAAATACAATATAGTTACTGTACACCAAAGCAACAAGACATGCAGTGTTCATTTTTGCAAAAAAAGCAAAACGAGAAGTAAGACCATATGTAAAATAAGAAATGTTTCAGTAAATAAAATATATAGATTTGTCATTGCTAAGTGCTTGTAAACAAGTAAGGCATTACATTACACGTTGGGTGAAAGCACTTTGTGACACCCTGGTGTTTGGTTGCACTCGTCTTGAGATTGTCCAGCTTATATACGCATTAAAAAATTAAAAAAAAGTTCTTCTCCCTCACCAGTCCACTTTCTAGCAGTTTTGCTACATGGCTTCCCCTCAACAAAAAAAATTAGGACAACAAAAGTCTGTTTGCTGCGTAACACATGGCAGGTTTTCATGAATCACAAGAGGCTGGAGGCCACAACTCGGCGATGGTTCACCCGACGTTATTCCAGGAGACTCTCACCGAGGTCTGTCTTCTGCACCGCGGTGCACATTACTACTGTTCATCAGCTACAGGCTTTGTTCTGGACGGCGCATGTACAATGCGCCTCATATCAATTCTCCGATAAAGATTTGGTGTCACAAAAGGCAACCGGTCCGCTTCACGCGGGCCCGTATCCCCGGCGCACGGTTGGAGCCGCGCTCCGCGTGCTGAGGTCTAGTACGCCTGCACCTGGTTTGGTAAAAGCTGACATCCGCTGCTGACATGGTTCATCACCTTCTGCTTCAGCTGGGCCACTTGCTCCCTGAGGACGCTGGCCGTGGAGGACAGCTCGGTGTTTTGCGTTTTCAGGTTCTTGACCTTGTCCTCCAGCCGAGAGATCCTCTCCAGCTTCCTCTTGCGGCATTTGGAGGCAGCTATCCTGTTCCGCAGCTTTTTCCTCTCCGCCTTGATGCGCTCCTGGTTGTCCATGTCGATGGGAGACAAAGGAGGACTGTCCCCGAAGCTCTGCATGTCTGGTACAATCTGCGGTTCGTCCTTCACCAACCCGGCGGATTGGAGCCGCGACAGAGCCGCCGCCGCGGCGGCCGCCTGCTGGTGCGCGCTGGCCAGATGAGATGGAGGCGGCGGGAAGGGGATGGTGTCCGTGGAGTAGTTGATGGAGGTGGCTCCGATCGGACTGGCCGCATAGCCGTTTAATGTGGTGTAGACGGGGAGGTCCGATGTCTGAAGCCCGCCGGAGTGAACTGCGCTGGCCGACCCGAGGAGCTCCAGTCTGTCCACGGAGACGCACCCCGCTTCGCTCAGCTGATTCTGCTTGTGAAGATCCTCCAGCGCCTTGACGAAGCCCTCCGCGAACTCCTGCTCGTCACTGGCGGACTTCGGGTAGAGGAACTGGGAGGCCGGGTTGGCGGCGGTGACCAGACTGTTGGACTGGATGATAAGGCGCTCCAGGTCCGGGGAGGTTAGTTTCAAGAGTCCCAAATCCGGGGAGTTGAGGAGTCCGTCCGCGTCCCGCAGCGGGTTGGATTTGAGCTCGGTGTTGTGGTCGTCCAGGTTCAGATTAACGTCCTTCTTCATCATGGTGCTGTGGCAGTAAACGCTGGAGACCCTGGGAGTGTTCGCGGTGCCTGGGTAGAGGGTTGTTTCCATTCTACACCCTCACACGAGGGGACGTCGAGCGTTACGCAGTACGGATCTTTCCGCAATCCCATCTAAACATGAGGAAATCAGCTGATCGCCTCGTTCCTATACGCGATCCCGCGTCCTCTTCCGCTTCGTCCCCGCGTATCCGTCGCGCTTGTTGCCTGGGGGGCTCCGGTGCGTCGCTCCAGCGCAGCGGACGATATTGTCTTTTCCCGATGGCACGACTGCTATGCGCAGCGCCAGACCTCGCTCGCTTTCTACCTCCAAAAATTCCATTATGTCACTCGAGAGCGCGCAGATTGGCCCAAAATGACGTTGGTTTCCGGTGTAATTTGAATAAGGGGCCGAACCGGTCTTTATTGCCATGGAGACTCTAGGTAAACTACAAACAGTGCAATGCATTGTGGTTTGATGTCATAGAATAAAAAAGCCCAGGGTCGCCAAAAGAGAGCAGAGACTGGGCGGGGAAGGTGTAAGAGGCGAGGGCCGAGGAAAGCACAGAGGAACAGGCATTACAGAACATATTCCTTCCACTGGGGCGCGTTCAAAAGCCTTTAAAACTATAATGGAGTATTATTATCAGCTGAAGATGATTAGCCACAACACATAAAACGAGGTTCTGGGTCCGGAGGAAGACAATGCATGTGTTATGTGCTCAAACAGAGTTCATCTTTTATTCCACTTCATCGGCCTTGTAACACTATCCATGCAAACACCTCTTGTTTCAGCTCGTTACGGGTCAATGGTCACATTCAGGCCTCACGCAAGGCCGAGAGCGTCAAATGTGGTGATACAAGGGCTCAGTGCTCTGAAAGTCCAGAAAAAAGGGAAGCAAAGAGTGACAGTAGATTGAGGAAGCCACGTGGTTTCAGCGAATGAAAGTAATATGTGGAAATGTGTTAAATGGCTGGTCAAACATCATAAATTATATAATAGATTAGAGCATAATAGGAGATAATAGGAAATAATTAAAACATAATAAAATGGAGTAGTGTAGTATAGTGTTTTAAATGATGAAATTCTATAAAATAGAATGGAAAAAGAAGAGGTCCATGTAAACCATTATAGAATAAGACATTGCTACGATGATGCCAAACAGAAAGTATAGTTGAACATAATAGAACATTATATAGTGAAATAAACTAAGAGACAAATATAGCACACGTCCATTATGGATGAGGCCCAGTGTTGGAAAATACAATATTGTTATTCCGCCTAAACGCAGCACAGACGTCAGCAGACTGTCTGCATCAGCACCACGGAGCAGACAGGGCATCATTAGTTTCCATGGCAACGCTGACATAGCAAGTGACGCAGGCAAGATAGAGAGAGGAAGGTGATCGGGTTGAGGGAGGAGAGCAGTTAGCAACTGCAGTGCAGGTTGTGGAGGTGGTTGGTGGAGGTGGTGTAGTCTGTGTGTGTGTGTGTGTGTGTGTGTGTGTGTGTGTGTGTGTGTGTGTGTGTGTGTGTGTGTGTGGTTCAGAGGCAGAAATCAAGGTTTATTCTGTAACCAAAGAGGCATGAATGAGAGACGTTTGTTTCAAACACTAACCACAAAAGACTCTTCAGAGAAAAAAAATCTCCACCCTGAGGAGAGCATATTTTCTTCAGTGTGCCAGTTTGGAGCCACATAGGGTGCAGTGTCCAGAATGTGTGAGTCATTTCGCAACAAGGGTGTGGACGGCACCGTGAAAGAAAAAAAAAGTGTCTGTTAGGCGCTTTTAGATTAACTCTGCCTTCATGACAACAAACTGGGAAGAAGGTTCGTCCTATAAACTCAGGTAATGGAGCGTGTCCAAGGTTGTGTAACAAACAACTTCCCTTCCTCAGCCAGAGAAATGTCCTTTGACTTTTACTCCCCTGGGAAAAGCTAACAGGGCATGCATGTTGAGCAACGCCCTGTGTCACTCTCACGCTGTTACACTGCACACATTCACACCTGGGAGCTGCCCTAAACCACTAAGCAGCTGAACTGGAGCAGCTGGTTGGCGATTAAATGCTTTGGCTGTACCAACAGTTATTATTATTGATGATGAAGGGGAGGGGAGGGGAGGGGGGGGTGTTTTTCATTGACTTCAGCTCAGCCCTGATGACAATAACACTGCTCAGTTTTCATTTTAAGCACACACACGTCTGGAATTAAATTCTATTGCATTGAAACAGTTGAATTTAAGATCGTCTGGATGTTAAAGAAATACAAGAGTCTTCCTTTGTGGATTTTTTGGTTCCCTTCTTCCCCAGAGGGGTTACTGTAGGATGAGCTGCTACTGGCGAATGGCATGCCTATACAGTAGATGGCAGTATGATCCATCCATCTTTGGTGTGCCACTTCCTTCAAGCCCTGAGCCAGAAGAAAACAGCAGCAAGCGGAGAGATTCCTGGGATTCTCGCTTGGCATATTTGACTCCCTTATTATCCGTCAATGACAATTGTTGTCATAACAACCGAGGATAATGGCCAATAAGAAGAAAGTAATAGTAACAGGTGAGATTATTTAGTTAGTTGGAGGACTGGACAACACAAGTGTGTCTTAAAGGATTTCCTTATTGTCTACTTGGTTTGAGCCGCACTTTAATGGTTGTGTTCATGTTTGAAAAACTGATACTATTGATACTATTATTGATACTATTATTGATACTATTATTTTGCAGAGAGAAATGTTGCTGGTTCTGGATAAGGAATCAAAGATGTGCATTTGCACTCTTTTTACTGCTTTACTGGGAGAAAGAAATCTTTCTGTGCTTCTGCTACCACTTAATGTTTAACTTGTAACCTTTAGACTTTGAATTGAGAGTCATGTGCACTGTGTTTCTTTGCTGCAGTGAAGTTTCTTTTTGCTGCTCTTTGCTCTGCAGGTTTTGAGCCTTTTGGAAAGCATGCAGTGAACTCCAGCTGGGTGGCAGTACAGGTAATCAGTATCCAGGCTCTCCGTTGTTAACGAAGGCGCCAGTTTAGGACAGTGATATGACATTTAAATCGCCAAATACATGATATAATTAGCTAAATGCAGTTTCATTGTGTGCGTTTGAAACCCATTATGACCCGTACATATGTACGTTTTGTGTGCTCAGGAGCTGGAGCGTTTGGGCCTGGGTGAAGCAGTGGACCTTCATGTCTGTGAGGTGCCTGTTGAATACCAGGCTGTTCAGGGCCTGCTGCTGTCTCTGTGGAGAGAGCACCAGCCACAGGTAGTCAATACAATCCATAATACTGTACATGGAAAACCTTAATAGAAAATAAAAAAAAACCTCTGCCACCTGTGTGTTCCGCTGGTGAGCAGCTGATGGTCCACGTTGGTGTTTCTGGGTTGGCCACCACTGTCACCCTGGAGCAGTGTGGCCACAACAACGGTTACAAGCGCCTGGACAACTGCAGCTTCTGCCCAGCGTCCCAGTGCTGCATGGACGGCGGGACCGACTGCATACACTCGGTCCTGGACATGGACGCGGTCTGCCAAAGGGTCAACGACTCCGGCCTCGGGGTCACTGTTTCTGTGTCTAAGGATGCTGGGAGGTAAGTGAAAGGATTTACGCACGCACACACTCTACGTGTCGTAGGAGGACACACCCAGCTGCTACTAACACCAGCAGTGATGGTGTTTTGTTCTCTAAGTGTCCAAGTATGCCACGGCAGTGTGCCAGTGAGACGGGAACAATAGTCCCTTTTCACAGCAGGTATTTTGTCAGGGTGGGGAGAACACAAGTGTTAATTAATGAGGATTCCTTTCTATTCAGTGTCTCACATTTCAATGAGCCAGCGTGAACAATGCCGAAGTGATTGATGTTATTAATTACACCTGTATTTATTTCGAAATGTATTTTAATGTCAAAATGTGGAAAGACATGTGGGTCTCAAACTAAAATAGGGTATTGCATTGTGTAGGACTTGTATTTTATCATGAAAACGAGTTTGTGGAATAAACATATGTTCTGCTATTGCTATTGTTATTTTGTCTATACTGTACAAGGAAATATCTGTGTATAATGATGACACGCGTCTCTTCACTTTGCATAACTTCTATTTTCATGCCTGTGCGGACAATAAACTTGTGATGTATGTACTTGTAATGACAAAATCTATATGCGTCTGTTCTAATAATTAAGATTGTCTTATGACTCTTGTGTTACATTGTGTAAGTCTTCAACGCCTTTACCGTTTTGCCAAGTTGACTCAGAGTCTTTGACACTTGCGTGTCCCCCTTTAACTCTCACATCTGTCTGGTATCCTTCCTCGGCAGGTATCTGTGTGACTACACCTACTACACCTCTCTGTACTTGGGGCGGGGTCACTCTGCCTTCATCCATGTGCCTCCACTTGGAAAACCCTACAGCAGCCAGGACCTGGGCAGAGCTCTTCAGGCCGCTATACAAGAGATGCTGAAGTTGCTGGAACTGGATCCCAAACAAGACGCACGCTGTAATCACAAACAGCATCAACAGCAGCATGAGCACTTCTGAGTCCACGTGCAGGGAGCGCTGACCAAAGATAGTCAAATGTTCGCTCCAGAAATGGACGGCATGTTGCTCACGTTTGTTGTCAAATGCAGGAGACTGTGTCTGAATTTGGGTGCTTTTAACGGTTTCATCATTCATTCAGGTGTTTAGACCATGTGTTCTATCTCTACAAATTTGAAGGATTTGCAAATTTTCCAACAGCATCTGTTGAATGCAAATGTGGACTGACTCTTTGCATGGATGGGTTTGAGTGTTTGTGTGTGGGTGTAGCTATAGTGTCTCTATAGTTCTGCCTCTGATAAGGATAGGAAAATAGAAACATCATGTCACGTTAGAGGATACAGCCTGACAGTAGTGTTAACAAGGCAGTATCTGAAACTACAAGTTATATAAGGAGAAACATTTAAGGTTACACTATTCACATCCTTCCCCTCCCGCTCGTCCGTCCGTCCGCTCAGTATTTGAGATTTTCATTTCAATCCACGATTTGTTAGTATGGTTTATGCTGCCATTCCCTTGCTTTGTTTACTTGCACCAGATAATTACTTTGAAACGACAGGAACATGAAGACATTTACAGATTTACACTTATAAAATTGTGTTGGTCTCAGGGAATATGTAATAAATTTGATATACTCAATGTGTCTGTCCTTTGTATGTACTGATGCTTTACAATAAAAAGCCAGCTCGAAGCTGTCTATAATTAAAACACCAATTAAAAGACATTATTTTATTTGCCTCTACCGGTGTGAAATCTTGAGACATATTGCTCGCAGCTGAAGAAGGTATTTTCATGCCTTGATCAGTCCTAATAGATAAATAAATAAAAGTCCTTTAAAAGGTGCATATCTATACAGATTCAGAGAATGAATACAACTTTCCTTACAATAAAGTCAATTTCGTCTAATACTAAAGAGAAACTTGACCGAGTCCATGATCTTTATCTTGGCTATTCCTATCCTTTGCTTCATTATTTAAATTACACATATGGGTCTTCTGGATTATTATATGTGTAGACATTTTAAAAATATGACATTATATTCCATTTTTAACCCACCCTTCTTAAAAATCAGGACGGGGGACAAAATGATAGTGGAATTATGATGAGAAGACAGTTAGAATAAACTAGTGACATAGAGGGACTGGCGTGACCATGTAAGAAGTCAGCGGCTTACGTATGACTCCTTGTAACGTCCCCAGACTTCCTACGGATGACTTACTGTAGGAGATAAGTGAGGGAGGAGAGGAAACGAACCGTGCGGGCGAGCAGACAAATGGAACGCGGCCTTAGCCGAGGCTCCCTCTCCCTCTCTCCTCCTCACCAGCGGCGTTTGTAGTTTTCATCCTCACGGCGTCTCTCTGGAAAAGCAACAGCCGCCGTTACGGCTAAAATACTACCGTTGACAAGAAGGGGCGATATAAAACCATGAGCGTCGAGGCGTACGGGCCGAGCTCGCAGACTCTAACGTTCCTCGACACCGAGGAGGGCGAGCTGCTGGGAGCGGACACGCAGGGCTCCGAGTACGACTTCACCGACTTCACCCTGCCGAGCCAGAGCGGAGGCCAGACCCGCGGCCAGCCGGACAACCAGGTCACTACCGGCGACGATGCTGTCAAGGGACGTTTGATCCACTGTGTTGACGAAAATGTAAAAATGGCTAAATTTGTATTTTTTCTTAAAACCCCATCGCGGGCGACCTCCGGTTAGCACGGTGACGCCTTCCATCCGTTACCTCTGCCCATTCCCGCTAATTGGCTAGCACGCGAGCTAGCTAAGCTCCCACGGCTAACGTTTAGCTCTCTGACACCAGCTAGCATTGTCAATGCGGGACCTTTTTCTTAATTGCCAAACAAACCCAAGTGTGTCGGGGATTTGCTCGTGGTCGAGATTTCCCCCAAAGTGCACTTGTATGTGTACTGAACAGTAAGAATGGAGACGGGCAGAAACACATGGTTGGATGCGGTGACAAAGCTGTCAGCGGAGGATTTGTTGATGTGACACGAGTATTTTCTGAAATGTCCCTGGTTGCCTGTCCAGTTATACGCACAATATTACTGTCCATCTGTGATTCTCGGTTGTTAAGTTATGCCAAATTAAAGGGTATAAACTAAACTAGTTCATAGTTAAGGTTGCTTGCATGTGTCTCCTCAGGTTAATGTCCCCGACGGCGGACTGCAGAACGGGGACACACCTGTCCTAAAAGCCGGTCAGCTGCTGGCAGAGTTGAACTTTGAGGAAGATGAGGAGGACGCTTACTACACCAAAGATCTACCTCTACATGCCTGCAGGTACTGACTTTAGAAGCACACCAATGTGAGTGATGCCAAAGCTTGGAACTTAACAGCTTGCTTAAGGTTTTTTTTTTTCCCCTCATGCTCTGCGGTTGACCACGCATACCATCTGATCTCTGAGCTGTTTCTTCTCTATTGTCTCTTCAAAGCTGCAGTAGGTTACGATCTCTGTGGGCATCACACACAACTCTCTGCAAACACACTCTGCAGATGGCACAAAAAAAACCCAATATCATCACAAAAAAGAACTCTGGCATTAAAATCCAGATTGAGTCTATTGTTTATTTATGAGTTATGTGCTTATTTTGTTGTCTAGTTTTCTGACATAGATATTAAACTGATCCATCCTTTTAACAGTGCATGTTTCTTTTTTTTTCATGTGACTCTCTTCTATTTTAGTTACTGTGGTATCCATGATCCAGCCTGTGTGGTCTACTGCAACACCAGCAAGAAATGGTTTTGTAATGGCCGCGGAAACACTTCTGGCAGGTAAGATACAGATTTATAGGCTTGTTTGTGTGAGAGGGTAAATGTACGTTTATAATATCATCATAGCAGGAGTACTAATACAGAACTATTAAGAAAATAGTAATTGGTTTAGTCTGTCAGGTGGTCTTTTGAATCGGCCTATAGACCTGGAAATATCATCAAGACGTTATTTATTTTTTGTGATCAGGAAGAATGGTTATAAGGACCATGTCTCCTCATACATAGTTACATTTTTTTAAAGCTTTTTAGTAAACACTTATTTATAAAAAAATACCGAAATGCTATAAAAATATATTTTATGCTGTATCAGTGTAGTAGATGACTACATCATATATTTTTGATGTACTAATTATATAACACAGATCATTTATTTGTGCATATGCAATATGCATTTCAGAAATGTCTTTGCTGTATTCTTTAGCAGTCGTGTTTAACTTTTTAAACTTTTACTTAAGTTTTGACAGTTTTATGTTATTAAAACTTATGTGTGAGGCAGTATAAATACTGTACAAAACCTACACATCCTATACATGACTGACGTCTTATGCATTTCCTCCTTCTGATGCATCCATTTTCTTCACTTTTAGCCACATTGTGAACCACCTGGTGCGCGCAAAGTCCAAGGAGGTAACCTTGCATAAAGATGGCCCTCTGGGGGAAACGGTACTGGAGTGTTACAACTGTGGCTGTCGCAATGTCTTCCTTCTGGGCTTCATCCCTGCCAAAGCAGACTCAGTGGTGGTACTACTGTGCAGGTAAGAGGACCTTTTCTGCACCCTGCCTGCTGACCATCCCGCTGATGGGGCGATCAGGGACAATGCATATCCCCTACGTTTTGTTTAATTTTTGTGTTTTTGTTTAAATTTTGCTGCTCTGGCAGGCAGCCATGTGCCAGCCAGAGCAGCTTAAAGGACATCAACTGGGACAGCTCGCAGTGGCAGCCTCTCATCCAGGACCGTTGCTTCTTGTCCTGGCTGGTGAAAATCCCTTCAGAGCAGGAGCAGCTGAGGGCTCGTCAGATCACCGCCCAGCAGATCAACAAGCTGGAGGAACTGTGGAAGGTAGGGCAATGTACTCCGCACACACCCGCCACTGTACGATGTAAGTATTCTAGATATTGCATAACCTGAGTTTGAGCACGGGTTGGGCCTATCCAGACCGTCAACCAGATTTAATCATTGTTGGATAATGCCATTCTGTTTGTTTAATAAATAATAAAGTTTCTAGCCTTCTATTTTTATTGTATACATAGCCACATATACTTTACTTTTAATGTATTGATTTTACCTAATTTTAACATTATGAATGGCTCTGTACAATTAAAGTCCCACAATAAGTCATGAAACTAAAGCAGCTATTTGGAATTCACCCACCATTCGATGTCACTTTCTTGGTAGGAAAATCCCACTGCGCGCTTGGAGGACCTGGAGAAGCCTGGAGTGGATGAGGAGCCCCAACATGTGCTGCTCCGCTATGAGGATGCCTACCAGTACCAGAACATCTTTGGTCCTCTCGTGAAGCTGGAGGCTGACTATGATAAAAAACTTAAAGAGTCTCAGGTAGAATTGAAGAAATTATGAATTTCTATATGAAAACATGTCTCCATGGTGATGAATAACAATATCAAAATGGTCACTGAGTAATCTACAAATAATCAATTAATCGACAAACATATTCCGTTGAAATACATTTATTCTACAGAGAGGAAGAAATTATCTATGTTTTGGTTTTGCTTCTTAAAAGCAGTAAATCTTTTTTTTTTGTCCTTTAAGCGGGATATTTCTTTTATGTTACTTTCTAACAGACTCAGGACAACATCACTGTCAGATGGGACCTGGGCCTGAATAAAAAGAGGATTGCTTATTTCACTCTTCCCAAGACCGACTCAGGTGTGTATTTATATTTTTGCCTCAAGTTTCTATTATCATCATTATAAAAGCATAAGGATACTGTGAGTGATGTTCATGTCATCTGCTCTCCTGCAGACATGCGACTGATGCAGGGAGATGAGATTTGCCTGAGGTACAAAGGAGACCTGGCCCCTCCATGGAAAGGCATTGGACACGTCATCAAAGTCCCTGATAGTATCTTTATGAGTGCTACAATAGACCTACTGTATTCAACCACATTTTACCCATATTATTATATCATTATTATTATATATGACTGAGGTAAATTCAACATGCCATCAACCAATTGTTTTTTATTAAATGCACTGACAAATGGCTAACACAAGAGTTACCCTCCCTTGACTTAATTAACCAGACTATGGGGATGAAATTGCCATCGAGCTGAGGAGCAGTGCCGGCGCTCCGGTGGAGATTCCACACAATTTCCAGGTCGACTTTGTGTGGAAATCCACTTCCTTTGACAGGTATTCACAAGAAAAGCCACACCATGTTGCCTTTTGATGTGGTGGAAGTGTGTGAATGTGTATGAAATACAACTTCATGTATCAGTTAATTTCATCTTTGGGTTTAATTTGGAACATAAGTATCAATTTACCGTTTAAGTTCATGCAATTATGTATTATTAGTCAACGGTGGATTCAAAGTGCTTCTTGTATTTATCTTCAGTGCATGCTTCTGAGTGAGTAAAGCTTTTCAACGCGCAATAAACAACTTCAATCAAACAATATCTTGGAACTGTAGATGAATACATAAACATTTCAGCAAATATTTGGGTGCGGTTTGTTTTGGCACACTTTATAACTTCATGTGGATTTTCCGTCTTCATCACCTAGGATGCAAAGTGCCCTGAAGACGTTTGCTGTGGATGAAACTTCAGTGTCTGGTTACATTTACCACAAGCTGCTGGGACATGAGGTAGAAGATGTGGTCATCAAGTGTCAGCTGCCCAAACGCTTCACTGCTCAAGGCCTGCCCGACCTTAACCACTCACAGGTGAGAACATCCACCTACAGATCCCACATAAAACATAACCGAGGTCACGCACGTAAAGGCGTTTCGTATAGTGACCGTATTTTAGGTCTTTTGCCCCCGAGGCCCATATACACATGTGGTTTGTTGTGACGCAGGTGTACGCCGTGAAGACCGTGCTGCAGCGTCCTCTCAGTCTGATCCAGGGTCCTCCTGGCACGGGGAAGACGGTAACCTCGGCAACCGTCGTCTACCACCTGGCCAGACAGGGCAACGGGTAAATCTTTTATTACTTTGTATGTGCCGGCACTGTGATAATATTCATTAAAGTCCAGGAAACCCAAAATGTCTTGACTGTTATTGATGTTCTTGAGGAATGGTTTGGCTATGTGTGTTGTGGATGCTACTAAACTAACTTTTGTTAACTTTTGTAACTTTTGTAACTTTTGTTCGCCCAGGCCAGTGCTGGTGTGCGCTCCCAGTAACATTGCTGTCGACCAGCTGACGGAGAAGATCCATCAGACCGGCCTCAAGGTTGTGAGGCTGTGTGCCAAGAGCAGGGAGGCTATCGACTCGCCTGTGTCCTTCCTGGCTCTGCACAACCAGACCCGTAACATGGAGAGGTAACACATGATGGCTAGGCTTGATCAAAAATGATTGCGTGTGTTTTATGGGTACTACTGTCAGACATGCATGTACTTATTATTACAACGGTCTAGAAAAATCTTTATCTTTAAAGTCTTTTAAAAACAAGGATGTTAGTCCCGATATTGCTTAGCAACAAATGAAAGTCCAGGAAACCCAAATAGAATCATTTAGGGGTCAGAAATATTTCCAGATTCTTCCAGTAAATCACTTGATTAGTCTTTGCACACAAGCACAACGTTCCCACTGTATTGAAAGTATTCATACCTGCAGTATGCCAGAACTTCAGAAGCTCCAACAGCTGAAGGACGAGGCTGGAGAGCTGTCCTCCTCTGACGAGAAGCGATACAGAGCTCTGAGGCGCACTGCAGAGAGGGAGCTGCTTGTGGTACCAAGTTTTCTTTTGTTTATTAACAACTCAATCTTTGATAATGCATAACCTTAGATTTGGTTGTTTGGTCAAGGGCATAATGTTTGTTGTACTAATCATTTCTGGCACTCTGAAAATATTATTTTTCATGGTAATATTTAGTGAAAATCTTGTTCCATCAAGTAATATTTCACTGTTTTTAAAACGTGTACCTTATTCCTTCGCTTCTCTCAGAACGCCGACGTGATCTGCTGTACCTGCGTCGGGGCAGGGGATCCTCGTCTGGCCAAGATGCAGTTCCGCTCGATCCTGATTGATGAGAGCACCCAGGCCACTGAACCCGAGTGCATGGTGCCTGTGGTCCTGGGGGCCAAACAGGTATAGGAGCTTCGTAAGTGGAAGTGAACCTGGATAGTCCTCGTCGTCACCTCTCCGCTTGAACTGCCCTCATTCCTCAGTTGTTGTGTCAACTCCGTCAACAAATACATATGCATTTTGTTTTGATGACCTTTTTTCCACAGTTGATTCTGGTAGGTGATCACTGCCAGCTCGGCCCTGTGGTGATGTGTAAGAAGGCCGCCAAAGCAGGTCTGTCCCAGTCTCTGTTTGAGCGTCTGGTAGTTTTGGGCATCCGGCCAATCCGCCTGCAGGTCCAGTACCGCATGCATCCCGCCCTCAGCGCCTTCCCCTCCAACATCTTCTACGAGGGCTCTCTGCAGAATGGAGTCACTGCTGGTAAGATGAAAACAATTTTATTTTACGGTTAGACACCGCAGCCTTTTTATCATTGTTTTCTTTGAGAGTGCAGCTACTGGACGCTTGTGGAGTTGAAAGAAACTCAACCCAGGAACGCACCCAAAGCCATAAACGCTTTTGTTTTGTTTTTTTGTTGTTCATTGTCTAATTGACAATTGAGACATATGCCTTCTGTTCTAGCAACCGAAACAAGTGCTTTGTGTTAAGCTAACGTTAGCTTTGTATCCATCAAGGTGTTTTTGTAACGTAATCACACACATCCTGCATCCTGCAGCTGATCCTGTCTCTGCTTATTCCCCTTTCTGTTCCTGTACATCAGATCCTCTAGTCGCAAGTCTTACCAGTGTCTTTTTTTATCCACAGCGGACCGTGTGAAGAAGGGATTTGACTTCCAGTGGCCGCAGCCTGACAAGCCCATGTTCTTCTATGTCACCCAAGGTCAAGAGGAAATAGCCAGCTCTGGAACATCTTATCTCAACAGGTTTCAACTTTCGTGATTATTGTGTTGCCCTGATATTTGTGTTTGTCCCGCAATTTTATATTAAGCCTTAAATCTGAATGAAACCTCCCGATCTCCCGATCCCACGGCTCATACATGCAGCCACTGCTGGCACATTTGCATTGCTTACTCATAACAGATATTGCATGTTTTTTCGTACAGTGTTTTCGTCAAGTATGTTTACCGTCTGCGTCAAGTCAAATGATATAAACTGTTCTTGTCTTGTAATCACCCTGCTTGTATATGCAGGACTGAGGCTGCCAATGTGGAGAAAATAACCACAAGGTTGCTGAAAGCTGGAGCAAAACCCGACCAGATTGGCATCATTACACCCTACGAGGGACAGAGGTCCTACCTGGTTCAGTACATGCAGTTCAGTGGCTCCCTCCATACCAAACTCTACCAGGTAATGTTACTTCTATGTCTGCACTCCATCAGAAAAGGTGAAAGCGTTTGGCTCCACATCCGAGCCAAGTTTGTGTTGTAAGCATTTTGTTTCCCATAAAATTATGAAAGTTGATAACGGCAGATAAGCTGTTGCTTGTAATGTGTGTGTGTTGTCTGCAATCTGCTTTTGTCAGTGAACAACCTTCACTCTAACGTCATTGAAAAAGTTGACTAGACAGAGTTTTTTTTAGGTCCAAAACCTCCACCAGAGTGATACATCATTTAGCAAATGGCCTCATGTTTTAGCAGTTGCGTTCTCATTTGTGAATTCCTATATAAGATATAAATCTCCTAAATGAGCACTCAGTTTTTTCCGCCGATGTGTCATTGTTCTTCCTGTAGGAGGTGGAAATAGCCAGCGTGGACGCCTTTCAAGGCAGAGAGAAAGACTTTATTATTCTGTCCTGTGTGAGGGCCAATGAGCACCAGGGCATCGGCTTCCTCAATGATCCCAGACGTCTCAACGTGGCGCTCACCAGAGCCAGGTAGGACTACACCAAGAACAACACTCGGTCGTGTCTTCTACACTGTGGTTCAGTGTTTACAAATGTTATGGTCATCGCTGTTATTTATACGGATCCTTAGCTTTGAGCTATTCAGTGATCTACTGCTTCTGTCGTGTGTAGGTATGGTGTGATTATTGTGGGAAACCCCAAGGCTCTGTCCAAGCAGCCACTGTGGAACCACCTGTTGAACTACTACAAGGAGCAGAAGGTCCTGGTTGAAGGGCCCCTTAACAATCTGAGGGAGAGTCTCATGCAATTCAGCAAGCCCCGCAAGCTTGTCAACACCATCAACCCTGTGAGTTATGTGTGTGTATATGCATACGCCGAAATATGCGTCTCTTAACTGGGTCATCAATGCGTGTTTTTTCCTGTGGGGAATGTGAATGATTTAGGATGCAATTCACAATGTCCCTGTGCACTTAGAACAAGATAATAACGAGGAAGAAATGATGAGGCATGTCCTAAAAACAATCAAAATACTACCTCCTTGTGTTTATTTCTCCAGGGGGGGCGATTTATGAGCACAGCCATGTACGATGCCCGGGAAGCCCTCATTCCTGGATCTGCTTACGACCGCAGCAGTAACGGTGAGAAGTTTTTAACAAAATGTGCCAACTAAATAATGTTCAAATACAGAAACAAGATCCATGTGGTTGGATTGGGCGTGACCACTAGCGCTGCACACCGCTGTATGAGAAATAACAATAAACTTGCCCTTCTGGCCGATGCAGGACGTTCGTCCAACATGTATTTCCAGACCCACGACCAGATCGGAATGATCGGCACAGGCCCCAGTCCCATGACTTCCCTGAACATCCCCATCCCCTTCAACCTTGTGATGCCCCCCATCCCTCCACCGGGGTACATAGGACAGGTCAATGGGCCCTCAGCAGGTAACTCGGGCAAAAATCTGCAGATTAGTGCAGAGCAATACAGAGTTAATAAAAGGCCTCCATGTTCGGTTAAAGCTGCCACACAACCCTTGTAACGCGCGTCTTTATCCTGCAGGCCGCGGTGGAGGAATGAAAAGCAAGGCGGGCAGTGGAGGAGGAGGCACTCGAGGTGGTCGCCAAAGAAACCGTGGCAACATGGGACACCACAGTGGAGGAAACGGAGGAGCCGACCGGCATGGAGGCCGCATGAGTGGCAGTCAGGCCAGCCAGGATCTGGGCTCTCAGCCCTTCTCCCAGGGACCTCTGACGCAGGGCTACATCAACATGAGCCAGCCGTCCCAGATGAGCCAGCAGGGACTCTCCCAGCCTGAACTTTCACAGGTTCGTTCGTGGCGCCGTTCGTCCTTTGTGAATACATCTCCATGGTCGTTTTGGTATTTATGAAGTGAGAACTATGTGCACTTAATGAGGCAAGCTTTTTGTAGTGTTTTTATTCAAATAAATTGGTTCCCACTGCCAGGACTTTTAGCTCACATTGTCCAGGTTTCCTTTTCAAATAAAGACCAAAACCACTTAATGCATTTCTGCCTGGAAAGAAATAAAGGAAAGAGTTGACGGCCCCTCTTTGACTTTTTGTTTGTCCCATTATAGGACAGTTACCTCGGAGATGAGTTCAAGTCCCAGATTGACGTGGCTTTGTCCCAGGACTCCACCTACCAGGGGGAGCGGGCCTACCAACACGGTGTGACTGGACTGTCTCAGTACTAGACTGTAAGTAACACGACTCATTGTTATTGAATAGGCACTTTGACGTTTTGGTAAACAGGCTTACTCCCATCTTTGCAAAGAGTCAACTGTATCTCTAAAGTTTACTTAATTAACATGTTATAGCTAATAGTTTCTTCTTTTATTACTCATCTTTCCTTTCTTCAGTCGTCCACGGTCTCATTTCTATCACACAGATCAGAATCGTGAAACCAAAACATAAAACTGTTCCTTTTTAAGTAAAAAAAAATATTAAAAATCTTTTAAAATTATGAAAGGGTTAATGGATGCTTGAACTCAAACAAGTATTTTCTCAACATATTTTGTGTATTTTTACAGGTTGCTGGAAAGGAGCTAGGCCTGTGCGACGCTTAGTTCAATGGCATTTTATTCTGGGTAGTAAGACAAAAAACAAACCGACATGGATACCCGTTTTCCACTGCTACACCCGAAGCACTACTGTGTGAAAGTAACAGGAGAGAGACCGTGCGAAACCAACCAATCACACGAGGGAGAGCAACAGGGGGAGCAGAGCCGGACAGGAAGACAGCAAGAGACGGGAGAGTGTCGGGCTGGTGGAGGAGAGGAGGCTCTGCTGCTCACATGCGACAACGTGGAGAAAGAAGAAAGCCGCCGCCGTCGGAGCGACGCAGTCGGAAGGCGAGACCTTGGACAGGTCGAGGAGGGCGGAAGGTCCGAACCATTCTGGAGGAGACGGGGGGGAATGGGGGGCTGCTGTGTCACCTTGTCCAACATGCGCCCCCGAACCCTCTGGCATCTCCAAGAGGTACTATCGTGAATCCTGCTCCCAAGGCTGAGAAAGATGTCTGGCACATACGCCCTACAAGCTTACTCGACGGGACGTCTTCTGTGACTCGGAAACGATAGGGGACACAACTCTTGAAGTGGTCCATGTGGCAACTATTAAATTCAAAGGCTTGAATTGAGGCAGTGCATTTGGTGGCGTCCAGGAGAGGAGAGTGTGACAACACTGTGTTACACTGTGTGGCTATTCAAGTGAACTGAAAAGTGCTCGTGTTGCCTCAAGGAGATCGAGTGATAGATGAAGATTGCAAAGCCACGGATCATCATTCAAGTTTTGAGCCTGAAGGTTTTCTGAATGCAGGCTGTTTTTATTTAGGTAGTACTCAGTGATGCAAGCTAGAGTAGTTGGCCGTCTTCCAAGGTGGTCGGGAAGGAACAAGTGGGGAATTGGATTTAAAAAACACATAACATCTTTCTCTCCAGATTGAGGAGGTGAGCTCCAGGTGTTAATCCCTGCTGACCCTAAAGCCACTGAGGCTAGCAGACGGCTAAATGCATCAAATAAGCCAAATCAATAAGTCACCTATTTACAAAGTTAAAAAAAAAAACCTGCATACATGCTATTATTTATGTGCAGGTTAAAGACCTGATAATCACTGTTGGAGTGATTTAAGAAATCACTTTTATAAAATATAAGAAAGTCACATGATTACATCTTAAAACATGATGACCCAAATCAAATATTTATTTATTTACTGTTTTGGACCTTTTGCAAAGCGTTCAACTTCTATAAAATTGCATTACGTTGTGTGTGTAAGTTCTTATTTCACATGTTGGGACACTGGTGATGTTTCCGAGCTTGTTCTTATAAGTATTTGATTTACGGATGTATATTAATGGCATAAAAATTGACAACGCTGAAACAATCCCTGGCATGAATGTAGACGAGTTACTTTACGTTCCACCTGGAGCTGGTTTGAATGAGCTTTACATCCCGTCATGAATCCGCGTACAGAGCACTCGCTCAACAAAAAGGTGTCACGGGGATTACAAAAAGTGTCCAGTAATGAATTAGTAAACAATGGAGGGGGGTATTTGCCGCTTTCAGCTGTGCAGATGGTGGATTTTTCTGCCTTTGACATAAAATAACTTTTCCATGAATCTTTCTGCAGAGGAGTATCATAGCATCACCATTACTATGTCTTTTGAAGAATAATACCAATAAATGACTGCGTCCTTGTTTAACACACAGTAGCTTGTGCGTGTCCTGTGTAAGATTGTCACTTTTCTTCGCTGTGTTTTCCAATCCTACATTTTTGCTTTGAAAGTTTTTGAGTTGTTGCTGTGTAGAAGTAAAGTGAAGGAGTTTTGTGTGCTCTCTAAAAGTATCCTGTCCATTATCGTGTGAAATTAAACGTTGCTTCTTTTATTGATTTGTGAGTCCTTCAGCTTGACTCCCCTGTTTTTACGTCTGATTTTGCTTTTCACTCATGTTGCCGATGGATTGACAGACATCTCATTATACATTATATTATCACATGCAATCATCTCTCCAGTCTGAACTACCACATCGTATTACAGCCTCAGGCCTTGACGGGCCGGAAGCAGCCCGATGAGGCCCGGGGGGGGCTCACCGGCTCGTTGACACGCTCTCGCAGAGCCAGCAGGTGGAACTCTACAACAGGAGCAGCTGACAGCTCGAGGAGGGGAAGGAGAGAAGGCGAAGCCCCCCCACCGGAGATCCGAGGTCAGAGGCGGCTTCTTTATCCTGCGAGGAGAGCGGCGGACACCGCGGCAAGCAGCTCCTCCTCCGCCGGCTTGTGAGACGCTGCCCCCCCCACGGAGAGGCGACCGGTGGCCGGGACGGTGCGGACACTTTGCAGGGTTGCAGCAGGCTCGGTGCAGCAGTGAACACTCTTCCCCCCCCCCCCCCTCTCTCTCTCTCTCTGTCTCCCCCCTGGAGAATAAATCCATCTGCTAGCTCGGACTGACTGCAAGAAACAGGAGACTGGGACGTCGACAGCAGCGCGGATTTATTGTGGCAAGCGACGCGGACTCAGCGAGCGTTTCCTCCGAAATGGAGTGAGTGTGTCTGCGTGTGATTGTCAGGGTTTAGTTCCCGTTTCGCCCCAGATAAAAAACAACAACAACAACATACTTGTTGGATGCTTGAACTCTCGCTTTCTCTGCATTGTAGAAAAGAAGTCCCAGTCGGCTTGTAAGATGTATCCTCACCACAGAGAAAGGTAAGGACACGCTCAGTGTCACTACTTTATATATATGTGTTAACTTTTAAGTTAAATAATAGTCACTTCAATTGATTGTGAATCGTGAAACACAGGTTTAGAGAACTTGCATCATAGTTTTTCTGCATGTGGAGCAGTGTTGTACTGACACATATTCAGCAGGGTCAGTACACACTTGGCAAACCTTCTTTCCTCCTTGTGGCCCCCAGTGTTTCTGCCATCTGATCCATTGCGGTTAGAAAACCCCCTCGTTGGTTTATTGCAGTTGTAAGAAAGCATCCCGGAGCGATCATGCAGAGGATTAAGCAGCATCGTTATTGTATGAAACTGCTCATTTTTTAATTGTTAGATTGATTATTTAAATACTTTACATAGTTGCTTATGAACGATTGAGATGACAGTGATGGGGGAGAAACCCAGTAAAGCAGATTGTGGCTACTGGAGTTTGTGGTGGGACTTATTGGAGTGTTTCATCATGAAGAGGAGCCACGTCCCTCATCCAAACACCACCAGGCTTTGTTACGCTTAAAGACCCCCCATCCAGCCCGGTGGCCCACATCCATCTGCGCAAGTGAAGGTCGAAGAACAGAACATCTGTCACCAACAATGACTGAAGATCTTCTGTTGTCTAATGATAATTAATTTAATATCTTTAGGTCATGGAGTTTGACAGATGAGGGCATTTAGGGCAGGGAGAGTCTAATAAAAGATGCTGGTGAATTGGATTATGGGAATTGTAGGAAGATGAATTTATGACCGGGATTAAAACTCAATACATCTGGACTCTGCTGCTTCAAATGTGATCATTAATTTTTTTTGAAACTATGTCACACAAGACCCTGTTTAACTTTATGGGAATCCACAGGATTGCTTCTTTAAAGTATTTGATTTGGCTGTAATATTGCAGTTAATTGTATGCATCTTTACAGTCAGCCCTTTAAACACTGTACAAGCCTGTATTGTGCTTTTTCTTTTATCATCATCTCCTGCGCCGATAAACACACACAGAAAGTCCGTTATTGTCTTTGTGTGTCACTAATGGGGTCAGATATAAATGTACAACGACTGGCCACGATAATGCAGTGGTTTCTGCAACGTACACTTTACTGCAAACAATTAGAAGGGTCCTGGTTTTCACCAATGATTTGAGAGGATTGAGACTGGCTGTAAAGATTAGACCGATGAACAGCAGCATTTTGTTTGTGGTACTTTTCTTTTTCTTGAGTCTTATCAATGTCAGTATTATCTGAACCAAAAAAACATCAGCATGGGCTTTATATTCTATCAATAAGGCACGAACAGTGAGATAGTCGCTCCGGGTTCCACTTCACTGTGCACTAATGGATTCGCTAATTACCAAATGTCAACAGGCCCAAGTGAGAGGGTGAACGTGGTAACTGTTCCAGCTGGTAGACATGAACGTGTGAGCATGTCACTGCGAACAGATTGGCCCGCTGACGCTCGCCACGAGGCGCTGCAGTGCGGAAGCATCGATAGCACGGCTGCAAACTGTACTTTTCTCCTGTGCATTGGTTCGAATAGAAATTTGGATCACTCTAAAAAACTAAGTTTGATAGAATACACTGTTACTTCAGCTTCTTTGCTTTATTTTAAATCAAAGCGTGGGAATGCACAGCAGTGTCAATGTACAAACTGTGCGCCAGCATGAGAGAGATACAAAAAGGGAGAGCGACCTTTAGCCGTCTGGCTCCTTATGCCACATGACTGTGGCTAAACCACCTCCAAACACTGGGGACTTTGTTGCATTGATATATTTACCCCGTATCCAGGATACATCTCTGCAAATACTGGCAGGGGCAAAGCAGAGGGTGGAAGGTGAGCGACTCGGGAGACGGTCCAGAGCGTTTCAGTAAACATCATTTGCCAGCTAAACTGCAGCCCTGTATGGCGAATGACGCAGGAAACGTGTGGAAGAAAGCCAGAGGAAGATTACAGCAAATGTCCCCGAATGACAGTGAAACAGATGGAGATTTACAATTGTGGAAATAATGAAGGATTTCCTTTTTCAAACAAAAGAGGATAACTAACAGTCTCATGGGGTTTAATGGAGGCGGTTTTAATGTTTTTATGCTGAAAGCATCAAAAACCAACCCTAAAATCACAAATTCTTTTTGTCTTGTTTCCCATTTTGAAATTTGCAGAACTTCCTCCTCTTAACTACATTATGACATGAACCTTTGTTAATGCTGTTGTGTCAAAAGTGTTTTTTGTTTCCTTTTTCTGAAATCTCCATCGCAGAAACAGTTTTGTGTGCTTCTTCCTCCAGGGAGCAGCCCATCTTCAGCTCCCGGGCCCATGTCTTCCAGATCGACCCCGGCACCAAGAGGAACTGGATCCCCGCCAGCAAACACGCCGTCACCGTGTCCTTCTTCTACGATGCCAACCGTAACGTCTACCGAATCATCAGCGTGGGTGGCACCAAGGTGAGAAGGAGGAGGAAAAGGAGCGAAAGAAACTATACGAGCATTTTATACAAAGACACATCAAGTACTTCCGATATATTTGACATCCAGAGCTGGAATGTGAACCATGTATATATTGTAATTAAAAAAAACACATTCCCAAGGGGATTTTCTAGAAAGTAGTGTTGTAATTTGGTGACCATGGCAACAAGAGATTCATTGCAACCAAGGCCTATGTCCAAACCAAAAAGCATTACATTCAAACATTGAAACATTCATTTTAATCTTCACCAGCAGTCGTCCCATCACAAAATCTGTAAGGTTAAAAAAAATCAAAAAAACATCTATAAAACCCACAGTGGGTGTAAACAAATCAGCAGCCAGAGGCTCTTTCTCGCAGGCCTGTGGATTTAGATTATGAGGAGAAGGGCACATAAATTGCTGGGGGGGGGGTCGATCTGATCTCCTCTGAGCACCTCTGGTCTGACCCACATTTCTGACTCCCAGAAGGCTTTGCGGGGTGACAGTTGGTCGCTCAGCAGCCCGATCCTGCCAGGACTGGTGTCTGCCTCCACAATAATCTCCACTGCTGTCACCCGCGTGCTACATATCCAACGTTCCCCCCCAGAAAAGAGACCGGAGCGTTATTATAAACATTTTGTTGGGAGGCGAGAGAATGAGGGAAAAGATCCTGAGCTGCCATTGTTCAAAGTGGGTCCATGTTTTAAGGCTGAAGATGACGTTAAAAGCTTTATAAATAGGTCGGTTCTAATCATTGTCTTCTCGTGGTCGGGGGGGGTGGAGGTGGTTGCCCACTCTCTGAATTCACTTTGAACAATAAGACATTAACTGTGTTGTGTGGTCGAGCTTAAGTTTTTGATTCATATTCAAAAGGGACAAAAAAAACGTGTCCCAATGGAGGAAGTTCTGGAAAATAGATTGATAGAAATCGCAGAGGAACTTCGCAACGTCACTACAAACACAGATGTTTCCCTTCATTCAACGTGAAGGTTTATGTCGTATTGTGTTCAAACAATGACTCTAAAATAGGAACACAAACTATCAAACTTCTCAGCTTCTTTTTTGCAGAATAGGATGTTTACTTAAATAAGGATAAATCCTTGGATTCGTTATTTCTGTGTCCGCTGCTGCGGATCAGCCTGAACGGAAAATCTTTATTTTTTCTCTCCTTGTTGCATTTGCAGGCAATCATCAACTGCACCGTCACACCCAGCATGTCGTTTACCAAGACGTCCCAGAAGTTCGGCCAGTGGGCAGACAGCAGGGCCAACACTGTGTACGGACTCGGCTTTGCTACAGAGCAACAGCTGCATCAGGTGAACTAACCCGAGGTCAACAAGGGTCAAACGGCTGATTAATACCTCAGGAAATCCATTTCATTTAACAAATCCTCTCAATCCTCCCACGTTTCCGGAGTGCGATGAGTGCTGCATTATTAATGTCTCGTTACCTGAAATGGTTCGTCGCTTGTCGTCTCTTTGAAAAGTTCTCAGACAAGTTTAAGGAGGTGAAAGACGCGGCTCGCCTGGCGCGAGAAAAGTCGCAGGATAAAGAACTGGCCAACACAGCGCTCACCATCGCTGCTCCGCAGGTGAGGACAAACGGAAAAAACGCTGAAGCGGAAAGTAGAGCAAGTCTCTGCAGGTATCCGGCAGAACGTTAGAAACCGGCGCCGTGACCCACAGGAACATCCACGCATGCATTTTTATCATTTTGGGGTAGAAGAGTGTTTCCCCTGCTGCCAAGAAGCCTCAAACACTGTGAGGATGGAAATGCAGTCAACCTGGGGCTCTTTTGATCAATAGAGAATAATAATCAGTTACACCTGCTTGGTCATGAGCAACATGGCAATTTCCTTTTTAATTCCACGGCTGAACAGTTTGCAAGTGATGTCTCTCGCTCCCAGTCTTTATCGAGCTGACGGCGCGTCAGTTAATTGTGCCTGATGCTAAGTGCACAACTGCTTGTGCTTGTGATATTTTCAGAAAGGTTATTATAGCTTTGTGATGACACGCTTCTTCCTGTTTTCTGTTCTCTCTCTCCCTCCACCTGATCGATATCCTCGGTAGTTCTCCCAGGTGAGTCCGCCTTTTGTTTTATCTTCTGACTCCCGGAAGAAAAAAATCAAGTAAAAGGTCACGTGTGTGCGAATGCTGTCCCAATATCTTCCTTTTTTTTGTTCTGTCTTCTGATTCAAACCTGTTGTGATGAGCTGTAGCTGAAACAAACACCATAATAATACAGCTCGCGTCACCACGAGACCAAAAAAGTAGTTATTTTATTTAAGTGTGTTTTGGGTTCAATCATTCGCCTCCCTGTGATGTGAAAGGAAAACGAAGCAGCCTGCGTCCAGTGTGAGCATCCACCCGGTGTCGCGTGGCGCTGTGCGTGTTGCCGGTAGAGTCCGTTTACTGATGTGTTTCTCAGGACCTCTCTGATGAACTCCAGTCTCCACCGGTGATGTGTGTGAACGGACCAGAGGACAAGCTGTTCCGCAGCCAGAGCGCCGACATCACTCTGTCTGCTGAGAAGGAGCGCATCAAGAAGATGCTCTCTGAAGGGTGACTGCGTTCTGCACACACACACACACACACACACACACACACACACACACACACTCTCTTAACTTAAAGGTTTCTGGAGCTTTCAGCCACATCCCACCAGGGGACTTGGCGTGGTGGTGGCTCAGCTGTCACGTGGGTCGAAGTGAGGTATTTCAGTCATGTGATTACCATCTCCATGGCAACTCTGCAAACTCCCAGCGACGCTAAAAGCATTGGGAAAGGTTTATGTAAACGACTGTGTCCTGGTTTCATTTTGCATCCTTTCTGGGACTTAGATGAGCAGATTGATGTCACGCCCGTGTGTATATGAAGTAAATATGAAGATGCACTCGGTGGCAGGTTGGCTTATCATAAAGACTGGAAACCGGGGAAACAGTGTTCAAAGGTCTCTCAATAATAATAAGCAGCTTGTGTGTTTTATCATGCAAACAAGAATAGAATAGACCGTATGTGGTTTAACAGCTTTAGAGCTGGTGGTTCATGTATTTTTTGCTTTTATAGTTTCTAAACCAAACTGACTGCACGGCACGACAAATAAGAGTGGTATTGATATTTTCATCTAATTATTGACAAAAGAGATAGAGTATATTTCTTAAAATGTTAACCTATAGACGCAGACACAATTACTTTAAATACAGGTAATAGTGGCATGTCTCCACACGGTTAATGGTATAAAAGTATTTTAATTTGAAAGCTGTAAATCCTATTGTTAAAAAGAAATGAGATTTCATATCAACTTAGTCAGATTTGGAGGATCTGTTCTTTTCAGACATTTACAATACTGTTTTATTGTATTGTATTACAGCAGTGTTAGTAATTGTATGAATAATTTGCTTACCAAACAGATCATTCATTCATGTGATGTGTCAGTACCCACATTGCAGTTTGGAAAATATCAGATTTTTTTCACCGACTAAACTGTACAAGGTCGCTGCAGATTTCAGATGATCGTTGCTATTGATTGCACCTTTTGTTTTTTAAACCTTTTTTAACATCCATTTGTCCAGCTGAGCTCACTGAGTATTAACCTAGTTTTCATTTTGATTGTTATCAACAGTTTGACATCATTCAATTTGTTAAGCTTTTTGTATTGGCGAAGAGGCCATCCTTCAGGTTTTATTCATTAATAACATCAAATAAAGCTCATAAACCTTTGCTCATTCAGTCTGTTTGAGCCACCCACATTGCTGTTACGTCCTGCAGTCCATTACTACAATAGAAAGCTGTTCTTAAATGGTTACCATGGTAAACTGCTGCCTTGGGACGGCCTCGAGCTCTCTAGATGAAAAAGACGGATCAAAAGCAAAGCATGAAGAGAAAATCTGAATGATCTTTTCTGCAGGATATACCAACTTTGATAGATATGTAATGATTTATCTGATCTATTGACTCAAATTATAGTTGTGCCCATGAATTTTAAGTAAACACATTTTTTCTTGTACAGCATATAATTCAAATGTTGGTTAAGTAAAATTCAGCTTTAAGCCACACAAATGAAACTTTACGCTCAGTTACTTGCAACCAGTGTGAACAGGATATTATTATTAATATTATTATGGGAATCATGGAAAAAACTACATGCATGATGATTGTGTAATACCATAATTAGTTTGCATAAAATTGGTTAATAACTGTTTACTACTACTTTTCTTCTCTGATGCTAAAAAGCTAAGTTAAATTGAGTAAGGACATGTGAGCCCTCTAATGTTCTCCAAAGGGAGCCTCCCATGGATCAGAGGATTACAGTGGGAGCAGTTTGGTGTTCTTGTTTCAATAAGTGTACCTTTGTTATAAGAACTTCAGTCTGCACAGCGGGTGTGTTGCCACATTGTTATCGTGGCTTCTGTTCACCAGACAGTCAGGCAGTAATTTCTAGCTATCCAGTAAACACTGCTCGCTTAAAATATGTACAATAAGAACGTGTCATCTTCTCATAAGGCTTACACCATATTCTATGTATTATCAGGTCCATCTGTGAGATGAACCTGGAATCAGAGCTCTTCACTCTGCAGGACAGCAACTCCAAGCTGGTGGCGGCGTTGCACGAGGCGAACGCCAACGTGGAGCAGTGGAAGAAACAGCTGGCAGCGTACCAGGGGGAGACGGACAGGCTCAGAGATCAGGTACAGCAGCCTCTTTGAGTGCTCGGCGTACGCACACTTCTATCAGCCGTCGATAACGAACCGGCTGGATGCCTGTAGCTCCGCATCAGCAATCTCAACTGGCAAACAAACGGCTGTAAAACGGTTCATATTCATGTCTTCATTTGTCCAAAATATAGTCATGTAAAGTAATTCAAATATGCTTCAATGTTGGACTTCATATCAAAATGCTTATTTATTGGTGAACAGGAATGAGAGGGGTGTCCAACACTGGGAAAAGAAAATATTGGAATATTTCAACCTTACATGAAGGTAAAAGTAGTACCGGATTCATCAGATCAGATTTACAAATCCCAAATGACCTGATGCAGCGCACGTCAACTGCAAACAATTGTCCATTGTCTGTTTTATCTTTGCGATAGCTACTAATCACGTCATTAAACAGAATGCATTAGACCCAAACACTGAAAACAGTTGTTTTCCTCGTTCATTCAGTGTGAACTTCTGCCGCAGGAGGAGACACTCTATCTTTATTATTATAATGATGCTTAAGAAAAGCTTTGCTCAAACAAGATGAAGGTGATGCTGACTGTTGGTTCAGTAATTCAGCTGAGAGAGGCAAATGCTGGTTTTCAGTGGCTCTTCGCTTGTGTTCTTGAACTATTTCTGTACCAAAGCACAGGAGAAAAAGGAGGGAATCTGGTTACACTTAATTGTTTGTTGCTCAGGACTCTGTTTTCCCTGCAGAGCTTTAGTTGAGGTGTTCCCCTGTTGGTTGCACCGGTTCACCAGCTACGCAGCAATGTCAATTTTCACCACAAAGGCCTTCGCTCTGAATACGCAGAGCTGCAGGTGTGTTTTTTCCCCCATCTTATCGCCTCCCAGGCTCCAGTGATTCAGATGCCTCTGGCCTCTCTTTCCTTTCTCATCAATAAAAAGTCTTTTCACATTTGCTGGTTCCTCTGGGAACGACCTCGCCTCAAGCTGACAATTATAAAGCTCTCTGATGCCTTTATACCTCTCCATTATAGCCCAGCTTTACAGTATCGATCACTGATTTTTTAATTATCCACCTCTGGTCTGGCATTTCAACAGGAAACTAATCTCTCCATTTTGGTCCACATTATCAAATTAATTAAAACAAGTGAGAAGCCCGTCTCCGTCTCCTTTGGACCGAGCTGGTTGCTTCCATCTGAGCTAAGGGAGACCAGGTGGCTGAAAATGGTTCACGTCTCCTGGGTGCAGTGAGACGGGTTTGTAGGGCAGCGATATCCTACTTTCAATGCCCCAGTTTAGGAGAAATGAAAAATCACTGCAGGGAGTTGGCGTCCACTCACTTCTGTTCTTTTTTCGGATTCTACCGTTCCTTAAGTCTTAGCCATACATGGTTTAAAATAATCCAGCCTGTCTCTGTCTCTTAAAAGTTGTCCTTTTCTGATTCGTGAGACTCTGATGACAAAGCAGCAAGGATTTCACTCTTGAATCCTGGCTGAAGTAGCGACATGTTTTGGCTCCTAGATACTGTTAAAACTGAAAATGAGTTGTGACGTGGGAATTAAACTGAAAGCATGTGAGACTACAGAATTGAAATAACACATGTCTGCACTCTAAGATCCGGCGTGAAGCTGTACCCCCCCCATGCTGAACGTGACCCCCCTCTCTGTGTGTTGTGAGGTGGTGGAACTAGAGGCCCACGGAGGCCACGGCCCCAGCGACCTGCTGAAAGATGAGCTGACCCGGTCCCTGGAGGAGCTGGAGGCCCTGCTGAAGGCCAAAGATGAGGTTGGTGCTTATTTCCAAGTGTCACTCATCAGCTGGGAGACGGGAAGCGGTTTAAAATATATAATATATATGTATTCAGTTCAGTTCTACGTCTACCTTGTTTGATGTTTTCCAGGAAATCCACATTTTGCAAAGCAAGAAGGTAGAGTACCACGAGATGGAACACCACCGGGATGAGGCCATCCACAGGCTACGGGTAGGAGTGACACGCCTCCATGATTAACGCACACTGTTATGTGTTCGCTACGGAGGAATAATCACCGGCCTCCTCTGCGCTGTAGGAGACGGAGATGCGCAACGCGGAGCTGGAGCGTCGCATCCAGAACTCTGAGCAGAACCTGAACAACTCTCTGGAGGAACGGGACCGCATGGACTCTGGAATCCAGAGGGCCATCGAAATTCTGGACATCAAGATCTTTGACCTTAACGACCTTCGACAGAGCTTGGTTAAGCTCATAGACAAATAGCTGGGAGGAGGGGGGGTGCGGGCGGAAATGGGTCAATATCCAAGCCGAGGAGAGCGATGGAACGGTCCAGGACAGGACCAGATGGAGTCGGTCCCGGTCCTCTTGAAGCACAACCAGCGGCCCGCCTGCAGGGGGGGGGGGGGGGGCAGCATGCACTCGGTTTCGCTTGTCCAATCTAACGTAACGCTTCGTGTTGCTTTCAAGGGTAACGTTCAATGCAATAAACCAACTGTACGGTAAGTGCTAATCACCGCTAGACATTTAATATGAGAGTTGGCGATTGTAGTTTTTTTGTAAGTTTGACTGTTTGTGCACCAAATGGCAACGTGTGTGTCCGTCTGATTAAGAAGCTTGTTTCTTTTTATTTCTTTTGTTTTTTTTCATCTTGAGAGCAAAATGAGACCGCCGAGTTAAAGGCAAATAAGAAAAAAAAAAAAAAGCACAACCAAAAATGACATTTGCATATTTAACAGCGTGCCTAAAATATGTCTTCTACTGAATTTAACATTCAAGTTTGATTAGTGCAGAGATCCACCTGTGCATGGTCTTATAGACACGCATGTATTATTTAGACGCTGTTACTTTGTTTTGAGTTCCTTCCATAGAAATATTTATTGACACATATTCCAGGTTCCGTAAAGAAGAATGCTACACAACTTAAACATTAGATCTTAATAGTGACACCAAAGATCAAATATGAGGAGCCAAGTCGTCGATAAGATTTCAGCAGCTTTTCTATTATCACATCTTAATTTTAACTCTTAAGAATTCTTTAAATCTAAGATTTGTGACAGTAATCTGTTGATAGATATGATACAATAAGTAATTACATTTAGGGTGAATATGTTCTTTTTTCCCCCCCATGATATAAGTCAATAATGCTACTGATAGTCAGTAAACACAAGAAATAGAGGCCATCACTTCGATCTACGTATGTTTAACTGGTCCTGTCTTAGTAACTGTCCTGTGCATCATCTGTGAACACTAACTAACTTATTTTGTGCATTCAAGGATCTTTACGAGACATTTTCTGCCTTCTGTTACTTCTCAGCTCGTTACCTTTAGCTGTGGCCGATGCGCCACACGCCTTGTGAGTGTGGCTCTGTTTGAAAAGTGATTAAAGTCTTTTATCACTCTGTTGGTTAATATATTCCACGCTATGTGTATATCTGTGTGTGCTTTTCTTCAAGCCTTATGGTTCAGTCCGTCTCTCAGACAAGCTTTTGTCAGCACAGTCAGGATATAAAAGCAAAGTGGACACTCGACCCCTCATTTTAATGCACCTCTTGCTCGTGCTAATGGTTTTTCACCTTCAAGGCCATCCGGTTTATGTCTACCACAGCATTCCTCCAAATGGTTTTGAGCATTTGATTGAATCATTTATTCTATGTACCTAATCCAGGACACAAGTTTGTGATACACAATCCAAACCGCCAACATCCAAATGTAAAACTCAAATGTGGATACTCGTGGTTTGCTGCTGCTGTCTTGCAAAATGTGCCTCTGAACTGTGAGGATTGGAGAGGCCGGGTTTGACCGAATGTACCGGTTCAATCCCCAACTCCACCGGGTAAATTAATTGCATATTTCTTTCTTTTTATTGCGTTTTTCCCCCCCATCTTCCTGCAATTGTACTACAGCAAATTAAAGTACACTTTTCTTTTTAACCCAACTGCATTACAAATCAGATCCAACATGATCCTATTTACTGATCTGCAAAAAAATCCTTTCGTACAACTCACAGCTGGGAACACCCATCTGTTGTTGTGTCTGGACTGAAGCTGTGATTTTTATTCATTTGAATGTTTGTTTAAATCGTTCATAGACACACCAACCCAGAAAGGTTGCTCCTAGAATGAGAAGCCGTTTATTGTCACGTATGTGACTCATACAGCAATTTGTCTTGCATGGTGCAAGAAAAGGAGACAAGTAGAATAAAAGAAGAAAATAAGATGAACATGAACACTTACAAACGATACGTTTGTAAGACACATATGTATATATATATATATATATATATATATATATATATATATATATATATATATATATATACATTATATATATATATATATATATTTCAATCCGGAGAGACTTGTTGAAATTTGAACAATGCTTTATTATAACAGGCATAATATGATATTGCAAGTTGTTTAGGGCTTGGACTCCATCCTGCCGCAGGATAGACCCGGGGCCGGGATCTCGAGCCGAGACAAGGCATATCCCCCCCTTTGGGAGTCCAGACACTGGAGGTGGTGGTGGTGGTGGTGGTAGAGCCCAAGTTGCATAGCTCTCCTGCTACGCCAGGTTCTGCTGTAGATTGGCGGTGTCCGGGGTGGTGTCCACTGGGCGTTGGAGCGTGCTGAAATGACAACTGACAGCAAAAGAGAGGAGAACAGTTTTTAACGTTTGCCTGCCCCAATGCGATTGGTTTACGGTAACGACACCCACGTCTGATACTACCCGACCCCCCCACTAATCAGCTGGCCGTGCCCCCCCAGGGAGAGAGGAGGCCACCAGGGAACGGCACAGCCTGTCCAGTCTTCCTGACTGAATTTTCGCCTAAGCTTCATTTAATGTCCTGGGGATGTCTGGGTCAGTGGGGGGCTTGGACTTAGTTCATGACAGGCTGATGAGGGGAAAAAGCTGTTTGGGTGATGGATCGCAGCCTCCAGCCAGAGGGAAGGGGCTCGAAAGGTTTGGGTCTGAGGTACGAGGGGTCGGCGACCTTCTTCTGGGCGCTGTCCGTGATTCCAGTCTTGTAGGGTGAAGGAAACACATGCTGAGAATGTGTCACGATGCTGTCGTTTGCCCTGCGGACCCACCTTTGTTCACGTCCACACAGCTAATAGCAAACGCAGCTCCTCGTAAGTGGTAGTGGCCGTTCCACTAATCTGCAATTTGAACGGCTTAAAGTTTTAGTGTGTACTTGAACTCTGCCAACGAATCCACAATGTGATTGCACGTCCAGGGGTTGTCTGACTTAACAATTGAAGGGCAATTGGCAACAAATAAAGTTGTTGTTTTGTCCTGATTGCCGGAAAGCAGCTTTACACCAAGTCTTCATAGAATCTTACTAATAGATTTACATTTGACATGTTTTTATATTGAATATTTAAACCATACCGAGTTCAATCTCCCTCACTTCACACTGCGCTGAGTACATACTTGTGTCTATATTAAATACATATTATAATAGTTACCATAATATTTTTGAAGATGGAAACACCATTAAGGAACCTACAGTTTATAAGATTTTTTTTTCTCAATAAGAGGGAGCAACACACATAAGAGGTTTAATCACAAAGGATCTAAACTATTCATTGTTTGTTCTCTCAAAAAGCTGAGTCGAAGTGAAAATAATGGCGATGGGATTTCTGAGCATTCAATTTGTTTTTAAAAAAACAGTTATATGTGGAAATTGAAATAAGCCTCCTTAGCTGAGGATAAAATATATTAAAAATGAACCATAAATCATCATCACTAATGTTAGCCTCACATGTGTTCCCACTAAAGCGCACTTCCTTGCTAGTGTCCGTCTGCACAGATGAAGGAAGGTCGGTGTGCTAATGTTGTTCTTGTGCTAGCTAGTGTTTACATGCTTCGGATAGAACTCACGCGTTAATGCGACATGGTTTTTAAAACGGTATCACTGAGATAAATACAACTAATAAAATCAATGGATATGAAAAATAAAGAGTGCCGTCCCTGGGTGGGCTCGAACCACCAACCTTTCGGTTAACAGCCGAACGCGCTAACCAATTGCGCCACAGAGACGGAAGGTACCCAGACAGGCGCTCATACGGTATAAAAACTATGAGAAGCTACTCTAGCGAATGCATTGGTTCTGTACTAACTAGGTGGCGAACCATAAAAATGTTACTTCGATTAAGAGACATCGAAACAAAGTGACGAATAAAAATATACTTCTATTACAGTATTTATCGGTTTATTACTCCGCTTTTAACTAAACTGTGGGCCAGCTATGAATGCAACAGTCTTCTGTTAGCTTATATAAACAAAGTGGCTTAGAGTTAAGTCAATATCCTACAGTTCGTATTTAACGCGAGCTATATAAATACCCGTTATCTTAAATAGTTAAATATACAAATATACACAAAGACATTAAAATGTACCGAGGTGGACTCAACCTACTGGCTAGCGAGCGCAGCTAACGTTAACTTTAAACAAACGCTGACAACAACAACGAGATTCTCCGCCAGACCGACTGAAACAAAATATCAAGAGCCTAAAACGTAAAGAACATTTATGAGTTGCTGGTTTGATCGGCAAAGGTGGAGCTGCACCCGGCCACGCGATATTAAATATATTTAATATTTAGCCCATCAACCAAATAGTGAAAGGATCGCTCCCAGCCTGCTGACGTCAGCCTGGTGTGAGCTGCGTGTCTGCGCCGCGAGGTGGCGCTGCAGTGCAGGGGAAGTTACACAGCGTCAGTCACTGGCGGGTTAAGATGATCTTTATTTAATAACAAAAATAATAATAAGATGCAAATCCAAAACATTACACTATATAAAAAGCGAAAAAAACAGATTAGTGGTATGAATATGAACAGGTTAACAATCAACAACAGCAGGTACCGCTTCAATAACAATTATTCTAAAATAGAACGTGTGAAAGGAAAGAGTTGGTAATTACGTGCGATTTAACAAAGTGGCGAATGACACAATGTAATTCTATCCTATAACATATCAATACTATTTTGATGACTTCATCACTTAAGAGACTTCTGGCTGTACTGGGTCTTACATGAATGACATACGCTATTTTCTATTGTGCAATGTTTTTGTAACAATTTCTTTACTGTTTTCAAATGTGCTTTGTTGGCTTGCTAATTGATAAACAACGTTAACGGTCCGCAATGTAAGATGCAACACAGAACTGTGTTTTTGTTTGTGTAGCAGAGCGGTGAGCAGACCATTCTTTGGCCCAAAAACCAAGTCAATACATTCAAACTCACCTCTGCTATGCCAGAATTTGAATTAGACTAATGGCGAAACAACCACGTTGTCTAATTTCGCTCTCCATTTAATGTGTCAGCGTGCAGGAACCAACAAGGCAAAGAAACACATCAGTTGTATATTGTTACATGTAAAAGTTAAAGTAAATCTTGGCTTCAATTGTTACATACAAAAATACAAATGACCAGGACTTTACTGAGCTTTACGCATGTTGTTTGCTACAGACGCCCTGTGGTTGGTCAGGACACAACTGTTGGTCAGCATTCGCAGTTTGGAGTTCATTTTGTCTTTACTTCTCTCCCAACAATAATCCTCTCCTTGATCCTCATTCTCCTCTCCTCTTTTATCCTGGCCTTCCTCCTCGACTTCGCTCTCTTCATCGCTGCGCTCATCTTTCTCCAGCTGTGGACAGAAGCAGACACACGGCTTGTGTCATCTTAGATGCTGACATAAGCATTGACTCTACGTGTCCTTCCATAAGAAATCTGCAATGCAAAGACGCTGATGCTGATATATTGGTCAGAGATGTCGTTTTTCACTACTGATTCTCACCTTGCCCTTTTGGAACTTATAAACCATGCGTATGATCAAGCCAGCCCAGAAGATGTGCAGAGCCTGCAGCACCATCAGCAGGACATTGAACAAGTAGTAGCCGAAAAAGGGCTGGAACTCCTCTATGGACAGCACCAGGGTGGTGTGGAGGATTCTGTGAGTGATCAAAATATTTAAGAAGTGTATCTGACAACCGACTTACAAGTGCCCCTTCCTGCATGTAGAAGTTTCACATTTCAGCACTAAAAATAAAGGGAAAAACAGCTCAAGGTAAAACCTCACTTGCTGGGGAAAATCACCAGTCGAGTCACAAGGAAGGCAACGGCAAACACAACAAAGAGCGTGTCACACGTTTTCCTCCAGCCGGTGCCGTAGTTGAACATTTTGGCAGACTGCAAAAACACAAACCGTAATTTAGCTTTTATGTAAAGCAAAGGCACCACACGTCGTCACCACACTGAAAGCAAGAAAGTGAAGAACTAATCTTTAAAACCTCAATTCATTGTACAGTCATTGTTCAGATAAAACAATTGAGCGACCTTTTGTTTTATCTATCAGGCCTCGGTAACAGGAGCCGCCTTCTCACACTAGAGACCTCAAACACTGAGCGAGCCTCTCACTGCAGGTAACAGCGTTTAGAGAGTTTGAAGGGACACACATGGCTAACATGCAGGGGAATCTGTAGTGAGATGTCCTGCAGAGAGTAATGCGTTTAGTTACGGCCTGCAGAGCCCCAATGGGGACTCTTCAGATTGAAACGTGACAGTCACCTCCAGCAGGATGTCAGAGGAGTCGTGGAGCAGCATGACCAAGGTGCCGATGCGGATGTAGTTGGCACAGTAGGAGAAACTGAGCAGGAAGATGGTGGCCAAATGGTGGATCACTTGCTCTTTAAAATCCTGCCAAAGCAAATGCGTGTAGAGTGTCTGGTTACTTATTAACCCCGTGCGAAGGGAAAGTTCTGGTCAAAGCGGAAGTGTGAGCCATCAACCGTGAAATACGACCCGGCTGAAGTAAACACAGCGATACCTTCTCTCATTCCCTCGTCTAACGGGAAAATGTTCTGTGCGGCCAGGAAACTGGTGAGAAACCGTGTCTGTGAATGCGCGTCGAGCTCCTCACCTTCCTCTTGATGTCCACAGATATTCGAAGGAGCAGAGAGCCGTAAAAGCCCAACTCAAGCATGTAGTACCAGTAGTGAGCTCTCTCCATCGGCTGCGTACAAACGGCGATCAACAGTCAAAGTGGAGCCACAGCGGGCAACATTGGTTTGCATACAGATGAGCAAATGTCAAAATATAGTTATGAAATGACAGTTAACGTCCTTTCAGGTACGATTTGTATCAAGCTTTAAAGCTTTTTGCTTTTTAACAAATTGAATGATAGAATTTAGTAGATCTACGACAACTAATGGTGATCGTTTAGTTGATCAATATATTATTCTGCACCTGAGCAAACATGTGCATTTCCAGGTATTTGTGAGGTTTTTAGACTAAACAATTCTGCTACAGTGAACAAGGAAAATATTAGTTCACCATTCTGTGCTTGTTTTACATTTCCTCATTCAAAGACATTTGATCTGTTTCTTTCAAACTCAAATTTCATTCTAACCCTGAGAAGGTGATCAGGATTAACAGATTCCTTATGAAACAGAGTTTCACTCTACAATACTCTGATATAGGCAGATAGAATTGGCAGCATTTTAACAGTTGAAAATGACACACTAGTCATCAAAGGAGTGAGATGATGTCACTGTAGGTTTTCACCTGAACTGGATATTGACTCCAACATTCCCTGCGGTCCCAGAACCACGGACTCTGTAGAGAAAGAAAATAAAGGTCAATTCAACCTTAAATCGCGTCATTACTGCAATGCAACTTTTTAAAACTCATACTCACATCGATCAAACACGCAAGTCCAGCAACGAAGGCTGTGAGGTAGAAAAAGAACCTCCAGCTGCAAGATAAAACACTCCGGATCACACGTTTGGAAAGAAAGGCAACTGTAAAAAGTCTGTACAGGGGCAAGCAATGTGTCACCGGCTCACCGCTGGTGCTTGTGCGCGTGCGTTTGTGTGCGTTTGTGTGCGTGTGCCCGCCGCTGTGACTTAGTGGGTAATTAAAATCACCTGCGTTACCCGGCGATTAGCAGTTTGGGGGTTTGTGAGTGAAAAGAGGAGACATTACTTTCTGTTGACCTCTACCTCTCACAATCAGTCCAGCTCTGCCACAGTATCCGACAGCATCATGTTTGGCAAACCTGTTTTTTTTGTTTGCAATAAACAAAAAAGAATAACGGGTTGATCTTTGTGGTTGCGTTGGACGAACCTCCCTGCGTCAGCCGTCTGTGTTTACAGTCGCTACGACGGAGGCCACAGCTTCATCAGCAGCTGTCTTTATGCACCGGTAGGTTTGCTTCTCAAGCTTTGACCCGCAGCCGTGTCAGGTTTTTTTTTTTGTGCCTGAGGTATTCTGGAGGGGAGTCGTCTGTGAACTGGACAATGAACAATGAGAACTTACGCCGCTTCGGCAAACTTCTTGGTCAGAGGTGGCCTGTCTTGGTTCCGGCGGAGTCTGAACCAGGTCTCGATCTGCCTCTGGGTTTTGCCGCACAGCGACATCAAAGTAACAATTTCACTCTAAAAGCACAATGGAAGGGGGAAATGGTTGAAACAATTAAATGTTGTTTTGTGATATAGTAAAGGATTGTTGTATTTGTTGCAAGTCATTTGTATTATGAGTAATATACTAAGTAATAAGCCTTTCTTTTTTATACCTAAACTAAAAAACGAATCACTTGTGTATATGACATGAATAAATTAACCAGCTAACTTGAGGAAATAAACTTGATAACTAACTTGATATTAACATTTTTATCCATCTTCTGCAGGATGATGTAGAAAAGTACTACAAACTAAAAGCATGAATGCGGAGTCCTCTTCGGACCAACCTGGGTCGGTTGTCTGCTCCTCCGGGTGTAAAACGACTCCAGCCTCGGGTGGGGGGCAGCCGTCACTTGCAGTCTATTCTTCACCCCCAAACATCTGCCCATGGGTGGGGCAAAAAAACTGAAAGCAACGAAAGAAAGATTATACAAATTATTATTTACAGGACCCCCCAGCGGGATAGTCAGTCAGTCGCTATGGACAATAAGCTTTTCTATTCAACCTAAAGCAAACACGTTAGAATAACATAAGGCTGTATTGTCAAGACAATGTATGTGTGTTGGAGCAGGATGCACAGTGCATGGATGTGTAGTTTCAACAATAAGCTTGACAGATGTTTGTCTTTAAGATAAGACAACACCAACACAGCACCCAACACCATCTGTAAAAATAAAAAAAACTAAATCCATAAGTAAGAAATAAAGACAGATATCAAATAGATTACTGTTTAGTTTATGGTATAGTGAGTGATATATAATGTATACAGTATATATTCAGAGTAGATTAATATTTATCCAATGTCAAGAAAACTTTAGAAAGCATTATATGAAAATCACAATTATTCCTCATAGGGTAATTATCAAATATCAGAATACAACTAAACAAAGTGAAGTATGTGTGGGACTAACTAACAAACGTTTTAAAAAGATTCCCTTGACTCTTCACACTTGTGAATGTTACAACAGTGAACCCTTTGCGATGCAATCAGTCAATCAAAACCCATTAAGATGATCTCTCCCTATTGTTATGCACGCGTAATAAAGCCCGCTGCACTTTTGGAGTGTGTATAGCCATTGTTTCTTTTCAAGTTGATAAATCATTTGATTTAGGAAATAAAGGTCAATTAGAAAAGCATTGCAGGTGGTAAAAGCAATTGATGCAAAGCAAATGTGGTGTACAGCCATGATAAAAAAATAAAACAAAAACCCCAAACCATCCTCCAGATATTTACAGAACAAAGAGATCAGGGTTGTATACCTCTCAAACACGTAGCGTAGGGCGACAAAGCCCAGCGCGAGGGGCAGAGCTATGAGAAGGTCATGGGGTCGCGGTCGGTCCGAGTCTGCCAGCTGTTCCACGTCCCTCCAGGTCACACCTGAAGGAAGCCAGTATTCCTGCCTCCATAAGTCGGGCAGCAGGTCCATTCGGCTACGGGTGGCCGGGCAGAAGCGTTTGAGGGACTGTGTTTCAAACAGAGATTTCCACGTAGTTACGCCACAGCGCGAGACCTAAATGTGAGCTCGTTTCAGGTGAAACCACGTTTGTGTGGGTCTAGTCGGACCTCTGTGACTCAACAGGGGGTTGAGTGTGCTTGCTGGGATTGTGTGTGTGTGTCTGTCTCTACACTTCGCTTAAACGAAAGTTGATATCAGACGATTGATCTGTCATTAATAAGTTACAGAAAAAACACTGCGTTAAGTTTGAGACCCTTGCTACTCGTTTTATCAATAATGCCACAAAACAACTATGACTATGGCTCACAAGGCTGTGAAAAGAAAAAAGTGTGAAAAGAGTACTGTATCATAAATACTTAACTTGTAAAGAGAAAATATGGAAATAACTCGTTTTCTTTGATGACAGACAGGTGGAAGCACAGGTGAGGGTTGTCCATTTTCAAGGTGAAAAACACATTTGTAGCTGAACAGATGAAAAAAAAGAGCTCCATAACCGACTCACCTGTCCGCAGCTCTATGGAAATGAAGAAGCGATACTGTTGGGATGGAATAATAAAATCCACCTTGAGCTGGGAATTAGTTTCAACCTTATATGGCCCGGGATGCGCTTCCGTATCCCTGATGACTCTTAACACAGAGGAGAGGAGTTGTTCAGGTGTCAAGTTATGCACGATGAAGCGAACACACTACGCATTTCAAAATAATAGCCACTGGTGGAAAACGTTGCGGTTAATATAAGTCAAGGCTTGAAAACACGTCTATTTTTATCCTCCAAAACGATCTCCCGAAGACACAACACGAATGCCAAGAACAAATGCCTTAAACGTGTTGATTAAGAGCTCCATAAATGTTATTTAACAAATGTTAAATACAAGGTGCTCGATCCAATATACCACACAAAGCACGTGCATAACGTATTTAACTGCTAAATTAAGTTCATTTAATGTTGTTTATTTATACCTTTCAGAAAGAAACGGGATTAATTTCCATGTCAGCTCGTCTAAAGAAACCGCTCGTCTAGGTGACGGTGGAGTAACTTTATTTTGAAGGCGTGTGGTGCTCTGCGTCTTATTCCAACACTAGGACATAAAGGCAGTGGCGCAAGCTGGTGGTTCATTGGCTAATGAAGCACTGGGGGCGTGTTCTTCCCACAGCGATAGTTCACAAACAAAGTAAGAAACTACAAAGGAAACGCTGCGATTGGGTTTCAGTGGCGAGTTTATGATGCGTGTCAAAGAGGGCGATGGAGTTGAACAAACATTACAACAGCAGTGATTACGAGAGAGGAAATAACACATTTATTCCTTTCCACAAATGAAACGTTGAACTCATGATGAAATAAAACACATCCCAGTTCACTTTCTTCCACTAAAGGGGTTTTGCTGGGTTTGGCTAACTGGGATTAGTTAGTTTTCACTGGTGCTGTGCTGCGTCATGTCTGAAGGCTACTCTTCATCTTTTCAGCTAAACTATGGGCCATATCTCATTACATTCCCCCTAGTCTCCAAGAAACTGTACGCCACAAAAAGAAAAAAAAATACATCTTAAGAAATAAAATAAGAAATAAACAGTATATCCTATTACGTTTCCTCATACTCCATTGTAAATAATGCTCACACATCTCCTCGGTTACCATTCTATTGGAGAGCAGCCATTGACTCCCATGGCAACAATGCAGGACACTTCCAGGACTTTGAAGGTAAACAAACCACACCAAGTACGTGCATAAGAGAGCACACAGACTTTACTCTGAATAAACGGGCACTGCTCTGTGTTTAACTGCTGTGACACACGTCCCTTCGATGGCACACCCTTAACACACACAGGCACGGTCACGTGCTTCTCCTCGATGCATGAAGACTCACTGCAGTCCTCACACCAACATCCCCTCCTCGGCACACTCAGGTGTGTTGTTGTGGGAGAAGATAAGCAGGCTGACGGCTGATAACATCACTACTGTCATGCAGATGAGCACTCAGCTGTTGTGTGTAAAGAACAGGTGTGTTATTCTGTTCAGTCCTGTTTTCTTAAAGTCTGGGATGGATAGACATTATCAATACCGCAAGGGGTAATTATTTTACTACAGCTGCATTATATACAGGTACACAAATAACATGCACGGATCAAGTTATTAGTTTATAATTTGTATAAAAAGTCATACAACCCTCTACTGTTTTGTGTTGGGGTTGTATGAAAGAGGTTGTTTCCCTGCATTTCTGTCAGACGGGACACAGGCCACCAGAAAATGACCCCATTCAGATTCATGAATGTATTTATTTGCATACTTTGTCTAACTGCATGTAAATATAGTAAAAGTGAAATTCAAATTAGGAGACCTGAAAAAAACAGCCATTACAGTAACGTACTTTTTGTTAAAAAAAAAAAAGTTTTGAATGGATGTTTTTTTTATTGTTGATTACTAATAAGCAACAAGGAACATATTAGTATTACTTGCCGTACTATTAGTGGTGCATACCTTCAACCAAAGCAACATTGTGGCATGTTGGAAGTGTCCCATGTGCAGGATGTTAACACAGTGTCTGAATGTCATGTTTTTCTGTGATGTGACAGGGGCGTTTGTGTGCACACTCATGTGAGAGGGTGATGGGGACTGAGGGCCTTTGTCGTGTCAAGGAAGTCAATTGTCAGGAGGCACTGAAGCAGAATCCGTCCTGTTAATTGCTGGAGCAATGAGGTGGGGGTGCTGCACTGTCCACCCAACCGTTGGAGTCGGATAAGCTGTAATTAAAAAAACGTTCTCTCACTTATTCCTAATATTTGGAGATATGTCTTTGCCTTGATCATCTTCTAAATCCATGTCAACCTGTGCGAATTAGCACAAAGTAGAACGAAGGCTGTGAGAATGTAATTATAGACAAAATGTTCATCAGCATTTATCTTTTGAGCTGATGGCTGTAGAGGACAAATCGCCAAACAACTGTCTTGAGGAGGATGTGAGTGTCGGGAAAGAACTTGCAGTGTTCATTAATTCTACAAATATGTTTCATAGTCAGCATGACTTTTGAGTAAGCAATTGAATGCAGTATTCATCTGTCATTTATCCATCATTTCCACCTTATTTTTACTCATAATCATTTTTATCAAAAGCAGACTTGAACTTTCTTGTGTTTGGCTCTGTCGTGTTTTTTCGTCATGGTTCAGAAGCACGTTTGACCGAACAGTGGATTTACACTCGTAGTTCTCAAAGTACCCAGAAGAGGTCTCAGCTCAACAGAAGTGATCTTGAGTGAGAGCTCCCGCCAACTGAAGCCACAAAGGCGAAGTGAGAAGAGAAACAACAACAGAGAAAAAACAGGTGCAGATGCCGTCAGGAAGGGCACTTTGTTTTTATGATGGAAGGCAGGAATGACACTGATTCTGAAAATGGAGTCACGCATTGACCTAAATCACTAAAATATTTAGTATAGTGCTTTTACATTTGTTTTGTGATGACTCGGGTAGATGGTTGCTCTTGTATGTTCAGGCCGCTTCTCATTAAATTGAGACCGTGTCTCTGTACGAGCCACCGATTGATTATTCGGCCAATTTCAGGTGCTGTAACTCTGGATCGTATTGATTGTACGGCAGCAGGCAGACCTGTCGGCCCAATTAAAAGTTTGAGTGTTTGATGCCGTGTGTGTCTGTTTTTGTGTGTGCACTGCATAGTGATGAAACTGTACAAAAATACAAATCAAAGCTTTTTTATTTGATTGAAAGCAGAATTCTAATTTTAGGAAACATCAGGAAAATATCAATTTCATTTTACCAGCAAAGCGTTATTCCTGTGGTCATAATTAATGAAACCAAACAACTGTAGAACAGTTCCCAAGAACTATTGATGGTTAAGTTCATTTATATAGAGGACTTTAAACCATAGAAGTGTCAAAGTAAGCAGTATTTAGTTAGTATGAAATAATTTGAAGCTCTTCTCTTATTCCTGCAGGCACTGTTGACCAGATTTGTCTTGTGCGCTGGACTGGGTCTAAAGGCAAAAAGGATTAGAGGAAGTAAATTGGTGCACATGCATTTCATAATCCTAACTTTATATGAGTCGTATCCAGTCAGTGTGACTCTGCACTGAGCCTCATAAGCCTCTTAAGAGGACGGCGGCATGGAATAGCAAAACTCCAAATAAAATAATTAGTATTAACTGGAATGTATTATAAACATCAGCTTTAGTGCACAGTTAATCTTTAAGAAAATTGAGAAATGAAATATAATAACAGCTGTAGCTCAATTTCAGGGGGTGGTTTCCTCTGATGATATCGAGCCTGAGGTTAATTAGAAATCGTTATCCCTGAGGATCATGTTAGAGGTCGTACAAATGCACGGATCCCATAAAAAAGGTTCCCTGTTCCAGAGAAACTGACATCTTCTAAATTATTCAGCTAGATTTAAGGAAAAAAAAAGACAGATACACTCTTATACTTTAACAGCAAATCGATGTATGAAGTTAACAATCTTGCTGTAAATCGGCTGTAACACAGTTCTGTCTGAATGACTTCCATGTTTAAACTCATTCCATTTCACTTTTATTCAATCAGTACCTCTCTTGCAGCAGCGCTGCTCTCTATTTATAATTCAGCTCTGGGAAACGAAACAAACAAACAGGAGTCATAATGTAATGCTGTGATACTGATCGCTGTCGTCCTGCAATTTGTCACTCTGGAAGCTGCAGAGTAACAACAAGAGTCACATTACATCAATTACCAGCAAATTATAACGGATTCTCCTTTTCTCTCTGAATTGAATCCTTACACAGATGCCGTTTGATGGTCCGTGTGCATGTTGCCCCAACCAACGACAAACCAAATGCATTTTCTTTCATTTTATGGAGCTGAAACTTTGTGACTATAGAACCTTGTTGCATGACACCGAACCCACGGCATATCCCTGAACATATCCCCACCTTCATCCCTCTCTTCATCTTCCATTCCCCCCCACACGTCTTCACACCAGTGCATAATCAAATTGTCCCCTGTCCAGTCCCTCCTTGTGATCCGTCCACGATGAGGCTGGTATGCTGCTG